ATTATCTTAAAATTATTAGAAGTTGTTTTCTATTATTGTTTATCAATAAAACGGGATCATATAATAATAAATAATGTTTATCCTTGTTACATTCTCTGCAGAACAAGAACATACAGTTACAACAACTACTGGTGAGTGTCTAAAACAATGACATTTCCAATTAGTACTTAAATGAGCAGAAAATAATGATTTTTCTCAATTAAAAATTATTTTAAAATACATGTGATATTCAAATATATGATTTTGTCTTATATTTAGTGTGTGATGTAAATAATTAAATACAAAATATATCTATTTATTTACCTGTTTTGTTGGCTGTAAATATTCTATTTTATAAAGTAAATCTAATAATGATTAAGCATATTTTTTAATATTGTATATATTTGGGTTTAAGTTGTACTTCTTTTATAATAGTGTTAAAGTAAATAGTGTTAGTGTATAAGATTAAGTGTCATTGCTGACACTGTGATTTGAAACTAGATCGCCAGTGAGTAACATGGGTGATTCCATTATTAAGTAGAGCATGTGATCATAAAGGAAGTGAATAAATAGGAAGTAGCGTGATGACTATATGATCATTGTTCACTCTTCTTGTCTATCCATTATTGCTATATGTTCACTCTCTCTACTACTATACAGATTACAATTATCTACTGATCGTTATACTATTTGGCGATTACTACCTAAACAAGTATTACTAGTGTGGATATTATTGGAACGCATTACTACTAGTACCAGTGTCTACAAAGTCTTGAATATAACAAGCATTTTTGGAAGTGATAATGAGCTTTCACTTGACATAGTAAAAGTGACAAGTGAAGCCGTCCAACATCACAAAAGTGGCGATGAGGATTTTCATGGAATCATAAAAAATAGAAAGAAATGAATGGAAAGCATGTCATTAATATAGCAAAGGTGAAGCATGAAAGAACATTGTCATATGGATTACATGATATCAAAATAATATTGGTTTATGAAATATTATGGCATAACTTAAATATCATTGTAAGGGAGAGTATTTAAGAATATGCTGAGTCTCAGTACTTAACTATTGACTTCAGTTTTCACATTTATCAATAATATATACTAAAATTTATGGCTTGTGCTAGTAACTGTGTTAGACAATTATAGTAATTTTTTATTATATTAATCATTAATATTTTTTTATAGTTTTCAAGATTTATCTTAATGGAAGAAAGTTATGAAAATATTAAATATGGGTTAGTTAAAGATATAAGAAATGATCTAATTTTGAATAAATATTAATTTAAGGCAAATGATTGATAAAAAATATCTATTACCTTTCCACAGAGGAATCTACTGAGGTAACAGCTACTGTTGGTAAGTTTTCAGTTATTCTGATAATTTATCAAATATGGTAGAATTCTAAGTTGGAATCTATTTAATGTCTAAACAACTAGTTAATTTGTCAGTGTTTTTTTAATAAGGAAAGTAATATTTTTCTATTTACATTTATATTTTCTTTCATATTATTATTTAACATTAAATGTTTATCTGTTGGAAGAACAAAAAAGATAAATATTTGATTAAAATCCATGATAACATACTCTAGAAAATGAAGGTTATTTTTATAAAGTTACATAAATTAGACATATCTTTTTAGGAAACATTTGCAAGAAGTATATTTTTAATTTGTATTAGTGAATAACATTTGTTTATTGTTTCTCTAGAACAAAGTCTTGAAGCTGAGGCTCTCATTGGTGAGTCTGTTTTTGTTAATGTTATTTGGCTCATGTCAATATCTTTCTGATGGTTTATATTATAGAATACATAATAATTAATTTGAATGTCTACACTTTTTCATTAGATTTAAAAAATAAAATGATTTAATTCATGATTTTCTAAGATAGAAATATGTTTTTGTTAACTTTCTGCATTTTTCAATTTAATAATAAGGATTAATTTATATCTGCAATCATAAGAAGTTAAAATCGCTGGTGTGTATCACAGCAATAGAAAGATTCATCTGGCTGGGTTGTTATCCTGACATAGACCAGTCAGGTGGTGGGGTTGCCATCTTGGTAGCCAACCATGTGGTGTCTTAGCTGACAGACATGGAAGGAGTGACACTAGTGCAAGCTGAAATGGTGTGAGTGCCCCTCACCAGCTGGGGAACTTCTGACTGACTACCAACATATAGTTTGGCTAGCTGGTTGATATTGTTGCTGTTGTAGCATACTTATGGAGGATGATGGGTATGTCCCCATTCACATAAATACAGTAGTAAATACTGTATGTTGGTCTGTAGTTGGACATTCATTGTGGAATTCACTTGACACACTTCTAGCAATTGACTACTACTTCTATGTGCTGCTGGCAAATCTTATATGTGTTGTTCTTGTCCTAAGTATTATTGTGTGTTACCAACCTTTGTTTGATTATTCCATTCACTAACCTTTCCTAGGTTACAACAGTTTCCCAGGGTATGGCTGCCATCATACTGAATGGCTTCAAGGAGCCATACAAGTCACAAGGATGCATCTGCCTCACGGAAGGGTACTAACACTTTTCCCAACCCCATGCACTCAGGACCATCCAGAGGGTGCACTGGTCTGATCTTGTCCAATAAGGTGCCTTGCCAGAGGACCAGCTCATTGAACATCCTCCACATCATGTTCACTGGCTTGATCATCTCCTACAATGACCTGATAACCACCTTACCAGAGTCATCTACCACTTGACTTGCTATCTGCAAACTGGTGATAACCTCATTGCAGACCATGCAACCACTGAAAGGATGTCATCCATCAGGACCTCCAGTGGATCAGTCTGGTGGTGGAGGATGTTATCATATTCTGCCAAAACCATAAGAGCTGGAGAGACAAGGTGACTCTCATGGGCTCAATGCCTTCATGGCATGACATTTAGCAACAACAGCAATCTGTTCTCAGAAAGTAAGATAGGTAGAAAGAGCTGCATATTATTTTGAAAAAAATAAGATAAAAAATTTCGAAATTAGTATTATATGCATTCTTCTTGGTTATTTATAAATTAAAAGAACTTTTAATTTACATTTCAAGTTTCTCAAATTGTCTAATAATTATATATATATTAAAATTAAATTTAAAAAAATATTGATAAACCTACTAATATCCATATTCATTATATTTATGCAGGCCAAAGTGTTGAAGTAAAAACTGCTTTAGGTGAGTTTTCAGTTTGTATATAAAACAATGGAACTTTTATAAGATGTAATGACATATAGTCAGAATATGATTTTCAGCAACTATCATGTTTAAATATATTGCATTTAAAATTTAAACCTTTTTATTATAATTATCAGTGTGTATGGACATATATATATACAGGTAATAATCCATTGGTATATAATTCAAGTGAGTCCAAATAATATAATATAAAATATTAAAACTATTTCATAGAGAGAACTCAATGTTTTATTCAAACAGAGCATGTAAATTACATACAATAGGAATTAAGATTACTCCATGGTTAACCATGGAGTAATTTTAATTCTTGTTGTATGTAATATAGATTTTAAGGGATGCAAAAATTTGTTGGATAAAAAAAATTAAGTACAAAACTAGAATTTATAACAGCTCATGGCTAAGGTGAAGGTTCAATAATTTAAATTACCTGTGTGTTCATGACCTACCCTACACCACTATATATATATATATATATATATATATATTTCTAAAGAATTAATGGATATTATTTTAATCCAACATTACTTCTAATGTTATTTTTAGTGGATAACCATGTAAAAATAGATGCCCTGTTTTTTGTTCTTTTGTAAAATAGTGTGTATTATGTTTGAGAAAACTTGGAGACCACATTTTCTTTATTAATTTTTCTTGAATGTGAAGATTGACACACATAATACACACTGTTTAAAAAAATCATAGGACAACTATTCATGCACAAGTATTCACTAAATTTAACATTTAAAATAATAAAAGTATATACTGATTACTATAGTTATGAGTACATTACATTATTGAATCAGGTATAATAAAGTTTAATATTTATGAATGTTAACTTTAGTTTTCTCAATCATCAAGACTTAATTGATTTATTAATTATTGCTCTAGTCAGATTTTATTGATTGGTTTGCGAAACTGAATAAAACATAGAATTTGTAAATCTTGACAAAAAATGTTAGCGATAAGTTCAACAATACTAAATACTGTGAGGATTTCAATATGCATCAGCATGTTGCAATATATATACAAGGTCAACACGATGAGCTAAGCAGGAATAAAATTTGAACCTGTCCTGATAATCATTTGATTAAAGGGTGAAACTTAAGTAAACTTAAGTAGCTGTTATTTTATTTTTTATTCTTTACTTTTAATTGCAATTTATATATATATATATATATATATATATATATATATATATATATATATATATATATATAAAAAAAAAATCCAGGATAGAATGAGCAACTCTGAAAAGAGTCTACCCAAAAGTAGCCTACTGGCATAAAAGTGCTCAATGCCATAAGAAATGGCAGAACTTCGATATTAATTCAAAAACCAGGTAGGCAGTGACTGGCCATGACTATAAGTTTCATGCATTTGCACACAATCATCAGGTGGCCAGTGGCTGTAGTAGTAGAATGAGAACCTTATATATCACCAGGTGAATTCAATTTGATAGGCAAATCAAACCCACATGATGGGGAGGGAAAGGCTTACCAGTATGCCAAATAAAAGTGCTCAATAACAAGTGAAATTAGTTTCATGGTACAGGAGCTGAAGCCTTAAGCCAAAAAAGTGCTCCACTGAAATGGACAGCCAAATTCATATATATAGTGAAGACTAATGATAACAATACAATCAATCTACTAATCAAGAGTTTCCTAATTACATGAAGCTATATTACTTATAACTTGTAAATATTACAAGTTGGGGAATCTATATGTTAAAATATATGATAAAAATTTCAGATTTAACAAATTCTTCATCAAAAAATCTATTTCCTAACCTGTTATTTATTTTCCTTATGTTCTTTAGAACAAGCTCATGAAGCTGAAGTGATCATTGGTGAGTTTCTAACACAGTAATAAAGTATTAAATAAAAGACAAGATGGAGTTCATGAAAATGAACAATATCTTGTTGAGTTAGCTTTTAATCTATGCTGCTTTTATATTTTATGAATTTGTACTTGATTGTTCCAAATAATGATTCAGATTTTCTTTAAACATCATTGGACTTGTTTGTTTGCTTCAACTGAAAGATTTGCTGAAGGATTTAGTCTTTTTGCACTTTTTTTGTGTTATTGCAGCTTCATTTGTAATGTCATTGTAATTTGTTTGTTGATGTCTTCTAGATACAGATGCAATACCAAGCTAATTGCATTTTAATATTGTATCCAAATGCAGAAATTGTTTGTCTTTCTTTTCAAATGCAATTTTAGCATGCTTCTCTCTTGCTGTTTGTCTCTTAATGTTTATGCACATAATTTTTTTTTTAATTGATATCACCCCATGCAAGGTAGTAAAGACACTAAGACATAAGGGGGTTACATGGTATGGAAGAATTAGGAACAGAAACATTGATAATGAATGGGAACAGGAAAGAGTAACCAGGAGGATAGTAGATAGTGATTGACATTACATTTAAAATTTTGCAGATTAAAGTTGGCTGGAAAGCATGGAGCCAGAAGGAAGTTCCATGAATGTGAAGTGTGAGAAAATAAACAGTTAACATAGTATTAATGGTTACATCTAGCCAATTCAACTGTAAATTTAGAAAATCTCGATGTCAGTCTAATATTGTGCTTCAAAAAGTCTAGATACCATAGCAAAGAGCTCATTTAAACAATTACCATGAAAGTATGTATAGAAAAGACATAGAGAGGCAACCTTATGTTGGTGGTAAAGTGAATGGAGTTGAGCCACCATATCAGGACTAATAATATTACTGATTCTTTGGATTTTATCAAGGAGCTCAAGGTAAATAGCAGGGACCCTGAACCATATGCAGCAGCAATATTCTAAGCATAGGAGGATGGTAGATTTATATATATATATTTTGGAGAGAAGAATTGTCTCACACAATACAAATGTACATTACTGTGTTTAAGCAATGTAATAATATTTTTTGTTTATGGCTTTATCACAATATTTCAAATTTTTTCTGTCTGAAGTAAACTGAGATTTTAAATATTATTTCTACAGACTACAATGCACTCTGCCTATATTTGCACATGAAATGCTTGCCTATTTCTCTATTTTTAGTTCATGCTATCAGCACATATTTGATGCACACTTATTTTTTTTAATATATTATTTTTTTTTACATTCTTTTCACTTATTAAATTATGAGTAGTTAAATTTTAGTTCTTTATATAAGCACTGGCATGAATTTTGGAATTTATACTTGCAATGTATCAGTTTTGTTTTTGCCTTATAAAGTTTTATTACTATTCCAGTAATAAATATTTGCTGGAATAAAACTCATTAATTTTTAGTTACTATTTCTGTCTATCTATATTTTGTTTGCTTTTATTTCTATTTTTTTATCTTGAAATTCAAATACAAAATAACTCATTTAATAAGATCCAAATTATATATTAATATCTCTTACAAAAATTTTGTTTGAAAGATTGATTTAAGATCCTTTCTTTTCTCATTATGCTTTTTATATTCAATTTGTGATACTGTTCTAAAATATTTTGTGTACTGTTATATCATGATTTAAATATCATGTATTTATTTTATGCTGGTTGGATTCTTCATTTGTACATATAATGAGAGAAAATGATTCTTGTTTTTTAGAATCAAAGATAAATAAAACTTTTTTTTAATAAGGATTTTGAAAGTATATATTAGATTTTGAGCAAAATATATTTATAATACATTATTATTCATTGTATAAATGTTTGTGTTGATGGGAAATATTTAGCATGATATTAGGAATTTAATGACAGTAAATTGTCAAAATATCTAGCATTCATTAGAACTATTTTCCAAAATGTGCAACTTTGATAAGGATATCTATCCTATTCTTCAATATTTTCTTAATAGTGACTTACATCCACATCACATTGAAACACCAATTTCCATATGATCACTGAAGTTAAGCAATTTCAAGCCTGGTCAGTATTTGGATGGGTGACCACTTGGGAAATGCCAGGTACTCTAAGCAAGTGGTGTAATGGATAATAGCTCAAAATTGTTAATTGAAGAGCTGAGTTCCAATTCCCATTGGGTTTGTTGCATTCACTTATGTGCAGATAACCTTGGGAAAGGTATGAATACACCTTTCCTCCCCCAGCTATGGATTAATTGGTAAGACGTGTATTGCTAAACCATTATTATCTCCCCAAAAAATAAAATTTATACAATCTAAAAAATATTATCTGGCTTTAAATAACCCGCAAAGGATTGATGAGCCATAGAAAACAAATCATCAACCAATCTTCTTAATAGTGATTATAATTATAGAAAAGAAAACCATTTTTAAACTGCTGTTTTGTGGAACCGACTCACAGTTTATTTTCTTGATACTTCCCCAATCACTGTAATCTTAACCTATTCAAGTCTTGGATTAACCATTATATACCTTACATATCCTCATAAACTGTGCCTCTTACTTTGTAATCCTCTACCATGAGTGGCTCTTGGGGCCTATACAGGGTGAACATTACATTATTATAAAAAAAACAAAGCAAAAGGAAATTTTTCATGTCATTACTAATGATGTTTAATAAATCAGTAATCAATCATGAGCTGCATCTAGTTCAAAGGTTATCCTCACTTCAAGTAATAGAAAATATTTCTTATTTTATATATATATATATATATATATATATATATATATATATATATAAAAAAATAGAGAATATAGATCAAAATATAAAATAGAATATTAACTTAAAGGTGTTTATTGTAAAACAGTCATTATCTTTCATTAAAAAAACTTTTGATGATTTTTATTTTGAAATTATGTAAAATTTTGTTTTATCATAAATTAAATATTTTTACTTTTGAATGATTTCCAAACTCACATAGATGTTGAGACTCAATGAAACCCAGAAAAAGTATGGACCTATACAGAATTTAGGGAAACATTATGAAAGACATATTATCTCTTCAATTAACCAATAAGTTCAAATTCACCCAATTTTGTATGCTTTGAGTCCTGGAAAAACGAGATTGAGTTCTAAACAAAAGTATAAAACTTTTGGACATGATTTTGAATGAAAAAAAAAACCCCGTGTCTTATGCACACAGAATTATAGTATTTATTTATTAAGGAATTCAAAATAGTTTAATTTTTTTCAAGAGTATTTGTATCAAGATTGTGTAGTTATTATATTCAATCATTATCTTACTTTAATTATACTGATATGAATATGTTACATCTCCACAGAACAAGAAAAAGCTGATTCAACCACCATTGGTGAGTGTCAACATATATAATAATACAAAATAGTAATGATACTATTTGTTATAATTTATAGCATCAATCACATATAATATTAGTATTTTAATATTTAAAATATTTTAACGCTTGAATTATTTTTTAATATAGATGGAATAATTGTTCTGTCATAATAGAATTGTCATATTTTTTGCTTCTTTTAAAGAAGTTTATATTTGCAATAACAAAAGTATTAATGGTATTCTTATATTTGAGGCTTGCTTAATTTATTACAACAGAATTTGGAATAAAAAAAATAAGGCATCAGTTATATAATAGTTTTTTTAATTATACTAAATTTAAAAAAAATATTCTTGTTTCAAGAGAAAAAGTTATGATTCAGTCTCTTGAGATAAGAAAACTTATTATAGGTAGAAAATATTTTTGTTGTTTGAATGTTCATAGATATTTATTGCCTTCCCACAGAAAAAACTGCTGAAGTCACAACTACTGTTGGTGAGTTTTTAGTTCTTCTTCTATATACTGTACTGCTTCAGGATATGAGCAATCATGGCTCTGTAAAACTTCCTATCCCATGTAACTCTTAGCAGTTTTTAGTTACATTAATAAAAGAATGGATGTGTAGTATGGTGTAATAGATAACTTCGGATAATAAATTGGAGAGCCAAGTTCGAATTTCGGTTGAGTTCATTACATTAACTTCTGTACAAATAACCTTAGGAAAGGTATGAATCCATCTCTTCTTCTGCTATGGGTTGAATAGAGTGATAGATTGGGTCCTGTAGCCTTGGTTGGCAACCAGTCTACTGCAGAAAGAAATGGCACCCTACTGCAAGAAATCTTCTCCTTATTCAGTCATGAATCACAAGAGACATGATTGCTCAATTGTGTATGGCAATTAAGTAACTAATTAAAAGAAATAAAATCTATGATTACTTGTGACATAATTTCATATTTTGATATTTATATTCCTAATAGTGGGTTAACTTGATTTATAAATAAAGAAAATCAGTTTAAAAGTATTATGTTAAAATATCTTAAATAAGTATTTCTAGAAATCATTTTCATGGTATTTAAAATATATTAAGAAATCCAGAGTATACACTTATGTGTAAAAATTCTAATATAAATAAAAATATATCTGTAAAAAGACTATGAATACAAACAAATGGAAAACTTTTCTTTACTCGGTGGAAAAATGTCAATTAATTGGCACATTTTTATGATCTTATCTGTAAGAAGAGATGATTTTATTTTTGTTTGATGTGTTTTTTAATAAATTTAAGTATTTTTTTTTACAGGGACATTTATGTATTATTTTTAATTGGTATCATCCCATGCAAGGCAGTAAAGCTAAAAAACAAAGAGTTAAAGGGTGTACAAGAATTAGGAATAGAAACATTAATAATGAGTGTGTTAGAGACAAGTGTATGGTTGCAAGAAAGAAATACGACAACAGTAGAAATAGATTTACATGGTTTATTTCAACAGGAATGTGAGGGTTTGGGACACCTACCTTGGTGTGGTAAAGTTGGTCGATCTCTCATAGTAGTTCACACATGTTGACGGTGGTTGACACTCCCCTGCTGTCAGCAGCTGGACGTGACAGGTCTCTATCCTGGGCACCTGTGGACTGACTGTTGAACTTCCGTGTGACCCCTTTTATAGCGTTTTTTTATGGCTTAACAGGCTCGAGAAACGAAGCGAGTATAATTAGGAGGGAAGCATTTTTATTGGATGAAAAATAGAGCACTTTAAATATTATTTTATTTTTCTACCGAAACACGAAACACGTGTGTGTCTTTGTAAAGAAAGATAATGGTCATTTTGTGACGGGGCTTTGTCCTGTTCACATCCGGTTCTCGCTCTTGAGTATTTGCCTGTAAATCAGCCAAGATATGTCTTATTTTATTTTATAACAAGTGGAAAGAGAAAAGAGTAATCAAGAAGACAGATGGTGATTGACATTGCATTTAAAGTTTTGCAGATTAAAGTTGGCTGGAAAGCATGGAGCCAGAAGATAGTTCCACAAGTGAGAAGTGCAAGAAAAGAAACTGTTAGCATAGAATTTACAGTTAACTGTAAATTTACAAGATCTTGATGCTAGTCTAATACTGTGTTTAAATTCATAAAGTCTAGGTACCATATATATATATATATATATAGTCAGTTGGCTCTTATAAGAAGCTCATTCACATTTTGGCAGGTCTTGTTTTTTGCCCTGTGGTATGATATACTCCCCTCCTCACCAGCAAAAAAGCTAGTGGGGGAGCTTTTTTATTTTGAGGCCAACCACCAATTCATATAACAGGCTGTATTGGGTTATATGTTGCTATTAACAGGCCTAAGTCTGATCTGACCCTAAAGAAATGCCTTAATTTACTAAAAACACATCTAACAAAAATAAAATTACCTCTTCCTGCACATAAGACCATATAACTAATCGCTAACCAATATTTTTTCACCTAGTAAAGAAAAGCTTTCCTTTAGTCTTTATTCATATACACTTACTTGTGTTCTTATGTATATACTTTTGTACTGTTTCAGTTAATAAAAATTCTATTTGAACTGGCAAGATTGTTGGAAGTAATTGCACTATTGTCATTATTGACAATGTAATTGATTAACAGTACATTAAAATATGAATAATATTAAATAAGAACTAAGACATTTTAATTATCATAAAAAAATTCCTTTTTATTATTATGCTAAATTTGTATTAAATTTTAAATCAAATTATGACATTTATTTGAAAAATAATTTCAAAACTTACAAGAAAGTTAATTTCTATTTCATTAATCTTAAGAGTTTTTTAAATTCCATAATTTTGTGATTACTTCTCTTCAGAACAAAGCAAAGAATCCAAAGCTCTAATAGGTGAGTGTGTCTAAACACATTTCTAAAAAAAAATATGGTGCATGCCAAATATCTTGTGACACTTACATTATATTAATAGTGTATATACAAGAGTACGAAAGCTTAGGCATAAATTATTTAATATTTAATTTGTACAATTTGATACTAGTAGCAATTTGTTTTTTGTTAATATGAAAAGAAATAGTAAGTATGGAATTGCACAAATACCCTTGGGAAAGATATGAATCCATGTCTTCTCTCCACTAGCTATGTATTAATTAGTAGTACTTGTATCAGTATATTGTTATTATTTCCTCAAAATTCTTACAATTTAAAAAAAAAAATTTTCAGGCTTTAAATAATCTGCAAATGGTTGATAATCCATAAAAGACAAATCAGTCAATCAATCATGTCAGACTTAGAAGATAATTAAATTATATACAGTACTCTAAAATTATAATATTCAGCATAACTGAAATGTTTGAAATATATGCCATAATACTAGTATTTTATCACTGTACTTTGTAACATATCAATATGAATATATATTACCATTTCACAGGCGAAGATGTTGAAATCAAGACTACTCTTGGTGAGTGCAATTTTACAATTAAGAGCTAAAATTTTACTGATAAACAATGATTAATAATTATAATATAATCTTATTAGAAAACAATTTTAAATTATTTTTTAGAGGAGATGGGAGCTTGCAATAAAGCAAAAATTAATGCTTGATATTTCTTTTTGATTAACTATTAAATATTCATTATATTACTGACTGGACATCCATCCATCCATCCATATATATATATATATATATATATATATATATATGTGTGTGTATGTGTGTGTGCATGCTTCATTAAATATGACAGACAAGGTGCTTTGATTAAGTTTTTTATATACTTTCTCATATGATCATATAATTTTTCTCTTTTCAGTAGATAAATTATACAAAAATTCAAATGTTATTTTTCTAAGTGCTTTTGCTTATACATGTAGCCATTTTCAAGGATGAAATATATCAACTGTTAACTGGAAATAGATTGTTGTATGCATGTATTTAAATACATACATCATACAACAAAGTGCACAGAAAAATATAATATTTGGACTGTTTTTGTATAATTTATCTACTGAAAAGAAAAAATTATAAGATCATATAAGAAATTATATAAAAAACAAAACACTTTGTCATACTTAATGAAGCTTGCATGAAAGAAGGATTGCTGCTTAAATACACTATATATTTACCTATTTATCTATCTATTTATATATAATATAATATATATATATATATATATATATATATATATATATTAGGGAAAAAACTATGATAAAGTGGAAAAAGATTTTGTGTGATGCATTTCTTCCTTTAGACCTTCATTGGACTAAAGTGATATTTTTTTGATGCACACGGAGAGAGGTCACTGAAAATTTTGAATTTAATTTTTTTTTTTTTTTTTAGATATATGTTTTGGGTATATATAGTCCCCTTTTGAATCTATACACTTTATCCATTATCATTTCCATTAATGGAAGCATTCCTGGAACTCTTTTGGGGATAGTGAGCAGCTGTCTTGTCACATTCTCTTGGATTGTCTCACTATATTAAAATCTTATTGCTTTCAATTGGGATTTTATTTTTAAAAGGAAAAAGTTGCGAGGGGAGAGACCTGGGGAATATGGTGGTTGCCAAACCTGGGGAATGTTGTCCTTGGCCAAAAACTGCTGTAAAAGCCATGGTCACTGATGGAATCTCTCTGGTGTAATGCGATAACTACATTTTATACACTTTCCTTCCAAGTGCTCCTATAAACCATAAAAGTGATTATGTTATAACTTAGTGTGCATGCGCAACAGAGTTCAAGGTCTGTCTGTGCCAAACAGTTTCACTATGTATATTTTAGCTCTGTTACCGTAGCAACAGTTCTGATTTTTTTGATTAGACCTTGTATTTGATAATTTGCTTACATGAAAAACATTAATATATTGAGTATTTTTAATAATATTTTACCAAAGGACATCAGCTCCTTGTAAATGAAACTCTAAATATGTTTATTTGTATGTTGCACCTCATTGACTGATGAATAACTGATGTTTATATGCATTACATTTAACAGAACAAGCTCGTGAAACAGAAATGACTTTTGGTGAGTGTCTATCTAATAATGTGATTATATTTATAAATCATTAAGGGCAATGGAAATACAGGAAGCACAAAGATGTTGCAAGTATGGAAACAGACAATACATTTTTACAACAGCTGAGCACCAACAAACAAAACACTGATGATCAGAACAAAATATCTTCAGTTTGTCTCTCCATTCAACCCCTACCTGGAAGAAGTGATATTTTATTCTGCTCATCCATTGTTTTGTTCTGTGTTTTGTTTATTGGTTCTCAGTATTGCCAGCTTCCTTACTTGTAATATTTCTGTCCACCTTTACTTATACTTTCTAGATGTTCCAAATATTATTTGCTAATATTATAAATAATGTTCAGGAACATTAAAAGTATATATTAGACTTTTATTTCTAATTCATTAATTCATTGGATTGATAGAAGCTATCAAAATATATACATTTTAATCTTATAACCTAGTTGGATACATAGGTTGATATCTTCTTATCACTATCATTTCCATGTGGAAATACATATGTCTTTTCTTTGCTTATTTCTCATTATTTTTCTGTTTGAAACAATCATGTTATACTCTACTTCAAGTTATTGATACGTACAAATTTGTATTTTAGATTCTTCTTTAAACACATTATCATTGTATCAGTCATCTTCATACATAATTGTGTTTTATATTACTTTCTTCTATTACAAACAGTTAAATGAAATATATCCTTTTGAAAGATTTTATTTATATTAAAAAAATAGAAGTTTTTAATACATTTTAGTTTAACCAAATAGAAGTTCATGTCTTCTATTTTAATAAGTCTGTTTTTATTATTGAACACTTAGCTTTTAGAGTTTGTTGTATTTAACAAAAGTGGAAATCTGAGAAATTTTATTTAGTTTTCTCTATATCTATCACAAAATTAAAATTTATGAAGATTGATGCCTAAAAATTTGCATTTTAGATTCTTTCAATGTATTATATCAATCATCTTCATACGTAATGTCTGTGTTTTCTATTATTTTCCTCTATTACAAAAATTTAATTGAAATATATTATTTTGAAAGATTTCATATTAAAAGATTTTTTTAATATATTTTAGTTTAACCAAATAGAAGTTCATGTCTTCTATTTTAATAAGTTTATTTTTATTATTAAATGCTTAACTTTTAGATAGTTTTTGTATTTAACGAAAAAAGAAAAAAGGAAATCTGAGAAATTTTATCTAGTTTTCCATACATCTATCACAAAATTAAAATTTATGATCATTGAGGCCTACATATTTATATTTTAGATTCTTCTTTAAACACTTTATCATTGTATCAATCATCTTCATACAATGTTTGTTTTTTGTTCAATGCAATATATATTTTTATGATATTTATTAAACTGATTTTATAATGATCATAACAAATAAAAAATACCAAAAATCAATGTCTTAAATAAGATTAGGTACATATTATTGTAATATATATATATATATATATATATATATATATATATATATATATATATATATATATATATATATATGTGTGTGTGTGTACTTATTTAACTTATTTTTGAGTGAATTTGCTCCGTCATTTCATTCTTTACTTTAAATCTGATTTTGTGATATTATACATGAGACATTTTATTAAGTAATTTTTGTTCAATTTATCTCCTTTATAAATACCTATATTAATGAAATTTTTTTTAAAAGTTTCTATTATGGATTTATAATCAATGTTCTTTTAGTTGAAGATCTTTTGGTTATATATTTTTTTTTTTAAATGTTTTGGAAATCTGTTAATAAGAATTTTTTAAATAGATGATTTTTCAAGTCAGTTTAAAGTATTTTAAGGAAAGTCTGTACTATAACTATATTGATAATATTTCACTGATAATACTATTTGTTGCATTCTGTACAGAACAAGAACATACAGTTACAACAATAACTGGTGAGTGTCCAAATAAATATAATCATATATTTTCTTTTTTGAATACATAGTAACCTTTAAAATACATTTATGCTGTATGAAACCTGCTAATATATATTTAGGCTTTTAATTCTATTTAACAAAATTTGTAATTATACTTGTAAGCATTTACAAGATCAACATCCTTATGAACTTTCGCAATTATTTTCCCTTTATTTTAAAATAGCGGGCAATAATTAAATCTCATTTGATTGTTAAGATATGAAAATGAATTATTGCATATTATAAAATTAATTCTTATATAAGTAATAACTTGATTCAAAATTTGTTGACATGAATATTTATTACTTTTTCTCAGAACAATCTACAGAAGTAAAGACTACCATTGGTGAGTGTTCAGTTATGTTACTAGATAAGTTCTGATTATAGCATGACTTGTATGGCTTACGGCCATATCACACTGAAACACTAGTTCTCATAAGATCAACAAAGTTAAGCAACATTGAGCCTGGTCAGTACCTAGATGGATGACCGCTTGGCAATACCAGATGCTGTAAGCTTGTATGTGTGTGTGGTATAATGGATAATGACTTGGAATTCAAAATTGGATGGCCAAGTTCCACTCCTAATCAACTTCATTATATTCACTTATGTGCAAATCCCCTTGGGGAATGGTATGAATCCACATCTTCTACCCCCAGTTAAGGGTTAATTATTCTGACTTGTATCAGTAAATCATTATTATCTCCAAAAATATTCTTAAAATCTGAAAATATTTTCTGGCTTTAAATAACCTACAAAAGGTTGATAATTTGTAAAAAGCTAATCAATTAATCAAAAAACATAACTCAGAATTAATTTTTGCCAACATAGATTATTAAGTTATATTCCCAGAGTTATCTAACATAACACCTTTAAAAAAAATAAATCTCTTATGTAGAAGACCTGAAGAATTTTATTATGAAAATTAAAAATTTTTTAAATTGTTTTATATCTTTAAGCAATTGTTTTATATCTTTAATATACTTTTAGGGAAATCTTTAACTAAGTGGAAATTTTTTTTTTGTGTGATACATTTCATCTTTTAGGACTTCATTGGACTAAAGTGATAGTTATATTGATGTGATTATACATGAACATGAAGTAGAGGTCATTACACATCAAGGAAAAAGTAATCATAGATTTTCATAAAATTGTTCTTTTCCATAATATACTTATTGCATAAACATTCTTAATTAGTGATAGGTAAAGAAAGATTATATAGTTTACTTAGTATAATTTTTAATGGAAAAATATATGTAGTTTTTTATGTATATCAGATTAAATAAAATTATTATTTATTGCTTCTCTGTAGAACATAGCCATGAAGCTGAAGCTCTCATTGGTGAGTGTCTCTTATTTGGTTTATATTTTAATATAAAAGATTTATAAAATATTGTTTGATAAGCTGCGACTGCCATTAAGCAATTGATAGTATAAATACTATTCTGTCACTATCATATTTTCTTGTGCATAATACATGAAATTTTGAATGAAAATTAAAGACAAAAAAACAGGCATTGTATTATATACATGTACACGTTTTCTGAAATTTGTAAAATACATTTCTTTACAATGTCTAATTGAAAAATAGCATATTTACACTCTTGGATAATTTTGTAGGTTTTAATATTTTGTGAGAATAAAGAGTTAATGAAATTACTGTTTTGATGATATTTGATTAAGGATAAAGATTATTTTCTTCTATATAATAAGTGTTACCAAAGTCTAATGAATTTATATATATCTATATATGTATGTTATATTCATACAGGCCAAAGTGTTGACATACAGACTACTTTAGGTGAGTGTTAAGCTCTTTAAAAAAGAAACAAATTATTTTTAACACATAATGATCCCATTAAATTATATAATTGTTAAATTTATCATATTTATATTAATAAAAATTATATTCTTATGAAATATGTATTATAAAATAATATTCAGAATTTAAAAAATTAAATTTGATTATTAAAAAATGCTTATTCTAATAAGCGATTCAGAAATATATCTTTCCATGAAGCAAATTGTAGAATTAAAGTATGTCAGAAGTACCATATTTGTTGACATCAGGGACAGTTTTTTCCTGAAATAAGTCTTGAAAATTTATTGTATGTCCTTGAAGAAGAAGGTTAGGGTTTTTGTAGGCCTATGCTAACCCCAGAGGAAGATATGCCAGATGGTAAAAAATTTTCATTTTAAACTTGTGGTTCATCCTTGACACCAGCAAATATGGTATATAAAACAAGTTATAAATTATTATTTAATGACTTCTATAATTCATTTTATGAAAATGTAGTTGGGATATCTGCATTTAATAGGAAGAAAAATGCTTAGGTTTTACTTGTAAGAGTAACTGACATCTGTGTTTATTACATCTAAACAGAACAAGCTCAGGAAACAGAAGCCACATTTGGTGAGTGTTTGTTAAATGCTGTAATGCTATCTCTATTTGCTTATTGTTACAAATTATTGCTACTTTTATTATAACTGCCAATAATGTGAACTATAAGACCATGAAAAACGCACGTGTATTTTCTATCTGCTTACTTCATTATTTTGATTTCTATTGATCATTTTTTTATATTCCATCACTGCAATTTTGTGAATGTTGATGCACCTGTTAATGTGCACTTAGGGAAAACACTGATAAAAGTCTGTGTCTCTTCTGTTGTCTTTGTTTTACTTTACATATTTAATTCTTCTAAGAAAGAATGACTGAAGTGTTTAATATTATGACAAGCACTGCAATTGCTAGCACTTGTGTTTTCTATTTCTGCTGCTTTTTGTTAAACACTGTATTACAACTGGATACTTTCATTTTTTTTACTAAGCTCTGAAATTAAACTTTCTTTCTTTTGTAGTTGGTATTTTGTATATGCTTCTCTGTTTCTATCTGCTTCCTCTAAAAAAACATAATAGTAGAATATTAAAATATTAACATTTTACTATTATGATTGTGCAGTAACACTGTGCTTATACACGGTGCAGCAGTAATACCTCCACATAATGGTAAGACATTACTGGCAATGGTGTCTTAATCTAGCTAATGTCTTACCATTATGTGGGAGGTGTATGTTAAAGATATTTCTGAAGTACCCTGTATATTAATGTTTTTTGGTAATAGATTCAGTTTATAATTACAGAAAAAGTATCTTTATCATCTCTGCAATTATCTGAATCTTTCACAATTATATTTTGTCTTCCTGCTAATGTCTGCTTCTAATGATGCTATGTTTATACTGAAGTATTACAGTTTTTGTTTTGTCTCTTCACTGCAGTGCACTGCATATGCATTAATGATTGCAATGCCAATGTAATTCTTTATTTATCTTTGTTTTTGATAAGTTATTGTTTTGTTATATTTATGTTCTTGAATGTACAGTTAATGATCATTATTATTGTTTAAAATATGCTTTTTCTATGTTCTTCCTTTTAATGTTTGATTTTTACCAACTAAATTATGTCAAGATAAAAGTTATCTGAAAAAATAATGGCATTTAAATATAATGTGATATGTTAAATTATTATTTATTTTTTCCTACAGCATATAAATATAGTAACTCTTACTTCTCATAAGCATCATTGATAGTCATTGTATTAAAGGAATACTTTTGATGTAATATACAGTCTGACCGCTTTAATCTGGTACCCTTGGGACCAGGCCATTGTCAGACCACAGAAAATATCCAGATGACAGAAATCATACCAACAAAATTCCCTATGGATACATAGTCTTGCCAGCTCATGCCACATATATGTTGCAGTGTTATCAAAGGTAGAACAAAGCTTAATTAAGATTCCCAAAAAAGATTTTGTTGTTTCAAGCAATACAAAGGCTAAAAAAGAAAGCCTAAAACCCCAAGATAATATATACTTACTCTACTGTAATAGGCCTTATTGAGAACCTGTATCTCAAACAGGAAATAATAGCGTATGTACTGTACAATAATTAATGGTTCCAAATAAGGTTTTTATTAATGTTTCATGCAATATAAAAACACAAACCTAAATATATAGTTTAATTAATATTTGTTGATTATATGGAAAAAAAGAGACAAAATTTTTCTTGGGAGTTGACTTTTGTGCAGCACTGTTTATATATATATATATATATATATATATATATATATACACACACACACACACATATAGTCCCTGGCTCTTCAATCGGGCACCCTTGGGATCAGTCTACTGCTAAACCACAGAAAATGCCCTGATGACAGAAATCACCCCTTATGTAATAAGTTTTGTCAGTTCATTCCACTTATATATTGTAGAACAAAGCTTAAAACAGGAAATGAAACAATCCTTAATGCTTCCAAACAAGGTTTTTATTGTTTCATGCAATACAAAGGCTATAGTAGACTTTATAGTGAACCTGTATCTCAAACAGGAAATAATAGTACTGTAAGTGAATGATCTGATGCCAAAATCACACACAAATAAAGGTATGTCAAAAGGACAGTTATCCCCTTGACACTGCTATTATTATATACACTTTTGACTCCCTTGGCAAATGTTTGTTTTAAAAGCAGGGATTAGAATATTAATAAAAGTGAAAAATTATGAAAGTGAATTTATACATTTTCTTTCTGCTTGAGAATTGAGAACAAAGATATTAAACACTATTTGTTTATTAGATTGTTTATTTCCAAAAATGATTTAGTATTTACAAGATTATGAAAAATATTTGAACCAACTATAATGAATTATTAATTATTTACCATTTTATAAAGAAATACATATGAAAATAATTTTTTTATTCATATTTTTATAAAAAATGTCTGTGAACATGAAAAATGGGTTTCCTGGGTATTTCTTTAAAATTCAGTAAAATAGGTTGAGCACATTTCTTCTGAACCAAATATTCTTTTAATTTTAGGTTTTAGGTAAGACCAGACACTCAATATTATGCTTGTGTATCTCCCTATTCATTGGATGAACAAAGTTTTCCTTGTGTATAATTATAGAATGTCTGTAAGTTTTATGCAAACGTTGCATTGTTGTTGGCTTACATATTTTGATAATTTTATTTTTTTTTATATAAATTTTTGGCTGGCATTAAGGTTAAACATGACCAAATATATTTCATCATAAAGTCTAGTATGTTAGCAATAGCAATGCTACGGTGAATTATCTCTTTGTAATCACATTAATTGATGCATAGTCTTATAGATTATGTCATTTTAAGTTCCACATGTTGTAAAAAAGGGTGAATCTTTACATCATCTAATTCATGTTTATTACATTTCCTGCAGAGCCAGAAGCTGAAGTTAGCACAATCACTGGTGAGTGTCTAAATAAATGAGCATTTGAAATATAACGTCATATACTTATAACAAATACTTTGTCGTGTATAAAGTATACTAGTTATTAGAATAATAGATTTTATAGCTTACTTTTTATGGGGAAAGAAGTATGACAAAGTGGAAAAGTTCTCGTGTGATGTGTTTTGCCCTTTAGGACTTCATTGGACTAAGTTTATGTTTATGTTGATGCAACTACACATGGACTTGAGTGAAGAGATGCTGTTAATTTTAAAGATGATTTTTTTAATTTTTTTTAAATATGTTTTGGGTATATAATCTAGCTAATTTCATTTTAATTCTTTTTTTTTATCATTTTTATTATTAAATATCCCATATTGCAATAATAGAATATCTGTCAAGAATGGTAAGAACCAGAATACAGAGCTTTTATTACCACAATGTGGAATATTTAATGACAAAAGTGATGGAAACAAAAGAATGTAAATGAAATCAGCTAGATTATATACAAAAAAAAAAATCAACTTTAAATTTAAAATTGCCAGCATCTTTCATTTGAACAGATGTGTAGTCTCATCAATATAAATGTAAACTTAGTCCAATGAAGTCTTAAAGGATAAAACACATCATGCAAAAACTTTTTCCACTTTGTAATACTTCTTTCCTCTAAAATTGTTCTTGATATATAAAAAATTTATATATCATTATCCCATAGCTTCCTTAAAAAATACAGTTTGAAATCTTGAATACCATTTTATTTTTCTTTAATAATAATCTGTCTGAATTTCTGGGATGAAGAGTTATCATTATTTACATTATTGACATGTAGCCTATTGTCCTTATCTTTGTTGTTGTTATCACAACTGTTGTGTCCACCAGCCTTTGTCTGGTGTGTGTTGATCTGTGTAACCTTCAGGGAATTTTGAATTGAATCCTTTATTTTATCTAAAGGGGTAGATTGTTCTCATTCTGATGACAATATCTTGTCTAGATTGTATTTAATACTGCTTGGTTATTATTCACTCTGTTTCCACTTACTCAAAGTACTCACTGCCTAGCCAAGTGATTGAACTCACAATTACTATATCACCAAATCTATGGACCAATGACTAGCATCTAATAAAGGTCAGAGGGCACAGTGGCCAAAATATTGTGATGATAACAACAAAGATGAGGACAATAGTCCACAAGTATATAATAATAATAATAATCTGCTGATTTTTTATAGTGCTATTTCTATTTAGTGGTAAGTTTTCTTTAGGAATTATTGTTTAATAAAACATTTTAAATCAGAGTTCGTTCTTGGAACTTGTATGATTTGATAAAAGTTAAGCCTAACTTAATTTTACTATAAGTTCAATTCTGAATAGAATATCTTATAGTTTGCTTGAAATTATTAACACAATATCCCTTACCTTCTTACAGAGCAAACAACTGAAGTAAGCACTACTATTGGTGAGTTTCCAATTATGCTGTTCAGAGGTTATATATAAAAATTCCATTTGATAGATTATAGGTTGATAATTGTTTGGAAGAGGTATTTTTTTGTTTTGCACACATAATATATATCACCTTGATAGATCAGACTGTCAGATGTAGATTTGGGTTCTTGCTTGCCACAGCATTTTGCTGTTTTACTCATTAAATGTTACCCTAACACTGTCTGGGCTGACAGGCCATTTTGCTGGTTCCAATGTTATTGCAGGTTTTGAATTTATAGATGTCCTCCTTCTATACTGGTTGCCAACCAAGGCTAGAGAGCACAGTCAGCCCTACTATTTAACCTATAGCTTTCCTAATTTTTCTTTATGCAAATACAATATTCTTGACTGTAATTTAAACATGGCATGCACACATACATACATCCATATATATATATATATATATATATATATGATTAATACAGATAAAAAATTGTCACTTAGCTGGCACCCCAACTTCAAAGTTTCAAAGACAGTCTACTCATCAAGAGGTATCATATATGTTTTTGGGGAAAACTATGACAAAGTGGAAAGATTTCTGCACTAAAGTGATGTTTACATTGATGCAACTACACATGTGCCTAAAGAAAAAAGGAACACTGAGAATTCTAAATTTTTTTTTCTTAAATATGTTTTCTGTATATTTCATTTAGTTACTTTTTTTTCATGTTTCCAACATTGTTCTTAATTATCCCACATTGTGATAATAGAAGATATTGCAAGAACCTGGATGTAAATTTACTGTGGATGTTCCAGCAATTAAAGCACTTTCTATACATTTTTTGCTTAGTAAATTGCTTTTTTTTAGCATTTTTTTAATCAAAATTATGATCACATTCATTACAGTGAATAACTAATGCATTTATTTAAAATCAAAATATTTAAAATTATAATTACATTTAAAAAAATATTATAAATTAAAATTCTCAGCATCTCTCCCTCATGTACATATGTACTTGCATTAACATAAACATTACTTTAGTCCAATGAAGTCCTGAAGGAGGAAACATATCACACAAAAAATTTTCCCACTTTGCCATAGTTTTTTTTGTTCCTAAAATTGTTCTTGATATATAAAAATTTCTATATAATTTTCCAATATATATATATATATATATATATATTATTTTATGATGGTAGTAATTTTCATATTCTATAATGGATTTGTGTTTTTTTTAAAGTATTTTCTTCATAATGATCAGTAAATAAGGCAGAGTATTTTCTTTATACTAAGTAAATATAAGCCAAATAAATGACATTAAAACTAAAAATTATCATAAAAAAGAATTTCAATTGAAAATTTTGAGGATATAGAAAAATAAAATTGAAAATTTTTTATTTATCTTAGAGTAAACAGTAATATAATTTATTATTTTCTGCAGAACAAAGCCATGGAGCTAAGGCTGTTATTGGTAAGTGTCTATATCTGTGATAGGTAAATTTAGTAAATAATTTTTTTACACAAAGTATTCATATTGGTAATATTATTTAAATTATTTTGTTTAATAAATTTTATTTTAAAACTTCATAAATCTTGTACTTATAATGCCTGGATGTTGTAAAAGGAGAAATAATTTTATTATATTAATATAAAAAGTTATGAAATATTTATTAACCAAAAATGGGTTATTTTTAGAAAAGTATAATTTTTTTATTAATTTTTAAAAATATTTAAAATTTCATTTTTTGAGTTGAGCCTTTAAGGTTTAGGTATATATCAAAATATAATAAATAGGATCAAAATTAGGAAAAAAATAACCTGAAGATTTATGTACAGCTGTTCAAAATTAATCAATTAATCTGGATATTTATTACATTTGTACAGGTGAAGATGTTGAAATAAAGACTGTTTTAGGTGAGTGTCTACATATTTTAAGAAAACAGTTTTTAATTATAAATACAAATCTGTTATAAATGTCTGTTTATATATATATATTCACTCAGGAAGTAACGGCTTTTTATTTATAATCTGACAGTATTTCTTATTACTATAGATATATTTTTTAGTGGATACACTTGTTTGAGCAGATATATTTTTTTAATTTTTTAAACAGTATAATTTTTATCTACTAGTCTAGGTACAAACCCTGCCTAAAGATAGATATTCTAAAACAATTACAGCCCAGAAGATGAAAATTATACTGTTTAAAAAAACAAAACAAATAAAAACCTAGATATCTGCTCAAACATGTGTAGTGTGTAAAATATGAATATAAAAATAATAATAATATATATATTCTGTGTATACATTATTTTTATAGATACAAATATTGAAGTAAATGTTCTGTTTATAATAAACAGTATTGACTATGTTTACCAGCCTGAATGTCTGAGAAATTTCATAGAAAACATTTGTCCTCTGACAGGCTATATAACAGTTTTGTGTAGAATACAGGTTCAATTCCTGTCAGAGGACACATATTTTCTATGAAATTTCTCAGACATTCAGGCCAGTAAATGTAGTTGATACTGTTTATTATAAATAGAGCATTAACTTAAATATTTGTATCTATAAAAATAATGTATAAACAGAAAATATATTAAAATAATTGTCGGACTTAGTCCATTTCATAATATATATATATATATATATATATATATATTTAGTTAAATTCCCATATGAATTCTATGGACAAGACAGATTGGTATCAAATGACAATTGGAAAAAAATCTTACATTTTGCCGACACGTTTAAGTCTTCCTACTTTTTTTCAAGGCAAAAACATTTCGATTTCATTTTTGCCTTGAAAAGTCGGAAGACAAAACGTGTCGGCAAAATGTAAGATTTTTCCAATTGTCATTTGATACTATATATATATATATATATATATATATATATATATATATATTATTATTATTATTACTACTATTACTACTACTATGTGCATATTTTACTGGATACATGTGTCTGATTAGTCATGTTTTTTTTTTTTTAACAGTATAATTTTCATCTTTTTGCTTAGGTTTTGAACCCTGCCAAAAGTTATGTTCTCTTTATTAAAGATTCAGAAAAAAGTACAGACTGGTAGATTAAAATTATACTGTTTAAAAAAAAAAGAAATAAAAAAAAAACAGATATCTGCGCAAATGTGTGTATCCTGTAAGATATGTATATATATATATATATATATATATATATAAAAATTAATGATGAAAATAGATACTTTAGGAATCCATGATAATATTTTATTTCATGAGATCAAATAGATCTCGTCTCATCAGACCAAACAATTTCACATCAATTTATTGATTATATATATATATATATATATATATATATATATTATATATTATTTATATATTAGACAAATATTTAAGTAAATATATGTTTATTATAAACAGTATTAACAACGTTTGACGAATGTCTGAAATTTTCATAGAAGATATGTGTTCTCCAATCTATGAAAATTTCTCAGACATTCAGACCGTTAAATGTTGTTAATACTGATAAACAGAGCATTTACTTAAATATTTGTGTCTATATAAATAACATATAACAATAAAATATATTAAAATAATTGTTGGATTTTGTCCATTTTGTATGATTATATATATATATATATATTGATTAGATATAAAAAGTAGTTTCTTGCATCATATTAACTTACTTTCATTAAACTATTCCTAATTTCAACCAATTAAATCATTTTTGTTGTAAATGGTTCAGATTTAAATATTTTTGGAAAATTCTCACAATCTCTAAAAATAAAAATTAGTTGTGATTTTACTCTATAATAATGATTTTATTATATTAAAATACTTGATATTTGTTTGTGTTGCAAATGACTGATTCATGTGTACTGATTAAATTCAACAGAACAAGCTCATGAAACAGAAGTAACATTTGGTGAGTTTATATGCAACTCTTTTACTACAAAATCATAACTGAAACATAGAGTATATTGGACAAAACTGCAAAGTCTGTTAAATGATGAAAGTTTAACATACTTTGTTCTGATTGTCTTTTGCTCCAATGTTTTATGTGCACTTGATGTTTCCAAGCACTGCAAACTGCATTCTACTCACATGTCTGTATTGTCTTTCTTAAAATCTGCTTTTTATGGTAGTTAGTTTTAATGCTGATGTCTTTTGTGACTAATAATGCTTAGTCACAAGAAGAGAAGTATTTACAAGGGGTGTCCAAAAAGTAAGAAACACTTAATCATACAATGTATTTATTACTATATAAATACAACCATGTGCATATGTTACCAATACTACTTCCATGGAAGGTGTTCAGATGAACTACATTCCATAGTACCACCAATTTTAACATTCACGGCTAAGACCTACCATGCCATGCACATTGTAGTGAACCACCCTCATTCCCTCCATATTTCATTGATAAGATGTAAGTTCCACTTGAGGATGCTTCCCCAATCACTGCAATCTGTTCAAATCTAGGTTTAGCTGTTATCTTCCCCACATATCCCCCAAAACTATGCGTTTTACTCTGTAATACTTTACTTTGAGTGGCTCTTGGGCCTTGTACAGGGTGAAAATTATTGTAAAAAGAAACAAAAACTATAGTACTTTTCCATGTAGCTACCTTTGATATTTATACTCATGTATACTGATGGACTATGCCAATGCATGAGTGTATCAATATCTGTTTTTTATTGATCATTTCACCCTAAGTAAGACAATAAAGCCACAAAGATACAATAGATTACTGAGTGTAAGAGAACATGAAAAAAAATTAATATTATTAATGAAAGAGAACAATAAAAGAACAAGAATAACGAAGACAATAATTGACATTGCATTTAAATTTTTGAAGGTCAAAGTTCACTGGAAAGCAAGAGGGCAGAAGAGAATTCCACAAGTCAGAAGTGTGAGAGAAGAAACTTAGCACTGAGCTTACAGTTACATCTAGCCATTTTGACTGTAAGATGATGAGACCTTTGCCACCAATCTAGCAATACACTTAAATTCATATTTATTTATTGGTACACAAGTGTATAAACATCCTCCTCAACACATGGCATCAAGTGACTGGATTCACTCTTGGACTTCTGTAGCATCATCTGTGGGGAACTACTTCCCAGATAAATGTTCATTGAGGGACCCGAATAGATTTTACTCTTAAAGAGCAATATCAGGGCAGTGTAATGGATATTGTAAAATATTCCAACCATATTACTGGAAGCATTCTTTTATCAGATTGATCATGTGTGGATGGTATTGTCATACAGCAAGATAACACTCTTTTACAAATTTTCTATGATTTCATAGATCACTGACATCAGAAGATCAAGTTTCACAGCTATATCATGAGACTTGAACTATCAGTTTCAATGTAATTCTATAGAAGGACACTGAGAATACCATGGACTGAACATGTGAACAACAACAAACCTTTAGAGAAAATGGAAACAAAAAGGTCACTTATACTTAACATCATAAAGAGATAGTCAAAATTTCTAGGACACATAATGAAGAAAGAGGGCTTAGAAAATTTGACCCCAACAGGACATATTGATTGCAACAGGGGCAGAGGAAAACGGTTCATAACCTACCTAATGAGTTTGTATAAATGGTTGGTAGAACAGGGTTTTAGGAGAGATAGTGAAAAGACAAAATGTATTAAGAGCTACAAAGGACAGGAAGTTGTGGAGAGCCATGTTTACTTGACATCCTGAAGGGACACAGCATAGAAGTCTGTAGTGAAAAGTTTGTAAAAATGTTTCTTCTGTCTTATAAACAATTCCTGCAATCCGTTTCCTTTAGTCAAATACTCTACTGACTGCAACATGTGTCTCCTGTTCGATACAGCAGTAACTGTTCTGCCTGTCACCTCCTTATGCCCTTTTTTATATCCTCATTGACAGCCAAAATCTACATATGTCAAAAGATATTCTCTCTTGAGAGTATTCAACTCTGGGATCTGTCTGTTTTAAATGTATGATCCATGAGGCAGCCATCTTTCATTTTGGGAAAGTTTATATGTGAAACATGTTCAAATCAATTTTTGTCCTGGAGGTAAGCTATTTTCTCTAGTGTTAAATTGACTGATACAAAAATGCAAGTGACCCTGGGCCTCTTTCCCCTCTGCAGTAGTTCAGTACAAAGTTGAAGAATATTGTCTTTTGTGGGCTTATCCTGTAGACTTGTACACTCTTCTGTGAACACATCACCAAGCTAATACTTGCTTTTTACTCATGTCCACCATAAAACAACATAGTGAATCTTCTTGGATTTTTTGCCCTTGGCACACAGAAATCTTCTTACTTCTTACACCTCTATGTTTTTTCACTGTTTCATGGTGTTCATCATCTATGGTGTGATATGACATACACAAGTGCTCAATATTAAATCTGTTCTGGCTGTTAAAAGACATACTGCATAGTTCCTGTTTTTCTTTCTGTTTATAATTTTCAGTTTTAATTCTGGTTAATTCACACCTTTTTCTTACTTTAATTTTTGGTTATACCACATATTTTATATATAATAATTTCATTATTCTGACTGCTATTTATAAACCTAGATTATTCTGGCACAACATACAGTAGTGGGGCACCTAATGATGATTACAATTATTACATTAGCTGCCTCATTACTTTGACTGGTGTTACTGATTTTCATCATTTGTTAAATCTCTGTAAACAGTGTTTTGTCTGCTTTTACAATTGGAATGTCAATGTGCTTTTCTGTCCCAATGTATTCCTATATGCAAAATAAGCTAATGTTGAATCAGGTGTGGTTTTGTTTGCATTTATTATTCTGGCTTAAACTATATATTGTATCAAATATTCCGTCTGCTTCTATTTTGTGAATGTCAGTGTCATTTTTTTGTCAGTGTCTTGTAAACAAAATGTTTTTGCATAAAGTGCTGTTTTTTATGTCAGAAATATTAGTTCGATAATATGTTGAAATTTTTCTATTTTCTTATATTTTCTTTTATTTTCACCTGTTTATTTTTATTAACACAAATGCAATATTTTGAAAATGACTTGTTGCTGGTGAACAATTTATATGAGGGTATAAAATTATATATTTCTTTCTGTTGATGTTAATCAATAGATTTTTTTAAAAAAATAGGTATTTTGAATAGACTTTTCTCCAATTTAGCAATATATTTTCTCAAAGTAGAATCTTAACACATTGACTACCAACCATGAGATAACTTCTGGTTGGCAGTTCTTATTATGATGCTAACCATGAGTTATCTCGTTTTCATGGTCTTTCCATCAAGGTTACAATCACAAGTTTTTTCATTGTTTTTAATGCAAATAACTAGTAGATGGCATCTAAGGCAGGAATAAATGATCATACTGGCAACTAAAAGCAAAAATTTTATGGGAAAGATTTATTGAAAATATAACACTTAAACGAAGCATTTGAAAAAAAGAAAATTGTTGTCTAAGTTGGCTATTATAAAGTTGGAATCTGAAATGGGATTTTTTAATTGACCTGGCAGTCAATGTGTTAATTTAAAGTATTGTAAACTGATATATCTTGAAAGCTGAAGTGTTAATGTTCAGATTTAACATCTTATAACCTTCTTGGACTGATATTAATAATAATTTAAAATGATCTCCCTAAATAATTCACATATATTCTTGTTCTGTGGTGAATACAAGAATAATGTACCTTGTCATTATAGAAAGTAATTTTTCTTGTATTATTGGCAAGTTATATGGCTAAAACAGAAATGTTTTTGCTTATTCATTTTCCCCAGTCTGATCTTCTGAAATAGTAGTTTTCATTTATTATTGTTATTATATATTTTTATCTTGATCTAGCAAAGTTTTCATCATCTTATCTATATTTAATACACTTTTTTGTCTGTTTGTTATTGTTTGACAGAAGAAGAACGAACAATATCAACTTCTTTTGGTGAGTTTTTGAATGTTTTACTATGCAAAAAGCTTGTAACATTTTGTAAATATTTTATCAAATAGATATATATATATAAATTATCTGTTTTAGAAAATTCCTCCCTAGTCCTTTTTCAGCTTATAATCTATTTAAACCCATAATTATTACATATTTATCAATAAAAACATATGCTACTAAATTATATGCTTATTTGTTCATTTGGCATAATTTTTTTTTCTCTACATATTCATATTAGCTCCCAACTTCAGTCATACAAGATGATTTATTTGTAATAGATTTGAGCAGGAATCAGCAGTAGTTCAGTCAGTTAAGTGTTTTATATAATACAAGCTTGAGTGATCATATACCTTTTGATTTATGACTGACAAGACTTTCCCATTTCTTTCTGCAGTAGACTAGTTGCCAACCAAGGCTATATAACCAAATTTGTCCTGATATTCAAGCCAGAGCTGGGAGGAGAATAGATGAATTCTTATCTTTTCCAAGGATATTTGCACATGTGGATGTAACTGGAATTTGAACTCGGTTCTCTGATTTCTTGTTCTAAGCCGATATCCATGACTTCAAAATACACATCTCAGCAGTAATTACCAATGTTAATTTATAGAAAACAATTTGACAAATTTTGTAGAAATACAGAGTACATAAATTTCTCAACTTAAAGTATAAATGCATTCCTGTCATGTCAAATAGTATACTCTGAGGCTTGACATAGTCATACAAACTCCAACAAACTGATCAGGGATAATGATTGAATAATATATAAATTAAATCATTCTGAATTTTGAACACAAAAGAGTGTTGTCTAAAGAAATGTTTTACAAAATGATTGCACATATCATTAATAACAATTTTTGACAAAAATATTTATTGCTTTCTCACAGAACAATCCACTGAAGTGAAGACTACTATTGGTGAGTTTTCCTTCATGTTTATTAAGAAATTCATTCTGAGAAAACAAATATAGAATTGAAATCTATATGGATAAATTAGATAATTTTCTTCAAACTAGAATAGAGAAAGACTTGAAATTTGTTGAATCTTGTGAATTTACCTACTTTTCTGATATAAATATTTTTATTTCATTTTGTTAACGTTATATAAAATATAAGAGGAACAGTACATAAATGTTACTGTTGTCCATGACTATAAATTTCATGTGGATGTATAGATGGTAATATTGCTGTCACATGTAATATTACAGGAACTTGTGGCTTTTTGTAAGCACATGAACGAATTCTTAAAAAAAACAAACATTGGTATAGGGTAAACATAGCCTATCCCAACCTGTCTTTTTATCAAGGCTATACATTCATCTCAATGAGAAGATACCTTATATGGTATGTCTGACCAAATGCAGTAGCCAGCCCTATGCTGATCTCCCATTATTATTAAATAATGCAAGCTGCAGGAAGGCCATACTTGTATGAGTATCTATTATTTTAACTTTTACGCATTGAAGATTGTGTGACAGCAATATTACCAACCACATGAAATTTATAGTCATGGACAGCAGTAACATTTAAGTAGTTTCTCTTATATTTTATATTTGCTCTGTAGATCTTTTATATCTTGCATTGAGCACTGTATTTATAGTGTCTCTGAATTTTTCATTTATTATACAATATATATATATGAACCATGAAAAAATGGTTTAAATATTCAGTTTTGCTCTCTAAAATATTATCAAGCTCTGACTGTGTTAGTAAACCTATCCAAGTCATATGAAATCTCAGGATAAAATTAGAAAAAAATAAAAAATCTCAAAGCAATGCTTAAACTTTAATATACCAAATTCCATGATGGTTCCATTTGAGAACAAATAGATGTAATCAAGATTAAGAACAAATATGAAAGTTTGGAATTGGTCAGATTTTATTAACTTGTGAAACAAGGAAGTTCTAAGAAACTGTTACTAACAGTCAGAGATTAAATTTTAGGGATACATAATGAGGAAAGAAGACTTGGAGAATTTAACACTTAAAGGACACATTGAAAGTCAGAGAAGCATGAGAAAGTAGAGATTAACCGACTTATCAAGCAAAATAAGAGTGTTAATGTTCTGAAGTGATATGACATGTATATAGATAGATCTAATTTGTATAGAAGCAGTTTCTCTTTGATGAATGGTTTAAAAGAAAGATAAATTTTTAAATTTATGTAATGAATAGATTGTTTTAATATAATTGGTTACTTTGATTAAAAAAACTACTTCCTGTTATTACAAAGTTTCAGGGAGATGACTGGATTGAAGAGGAGAAGGGCTCTTTAAGTAGGTTAACTAACAAGAAGGGAGCCCCCATAGTCTGAGGGAGCTGAGGCCAATTTTGAATTGAGAGTTTTTCTTTTTCCTAGACCGTTTGCCACTGAAGAACCCAGTCTATTCTGCTATTTACCCATAGCTGGAGGGAGGAGAAAATGATTCATACCTTTTAACAAGGGTATTAGCATATAATTGAATGTAATGGTTCCAACTAGAGTTTGAACTCGGCTCTCTGATTCCTCAATCTGAACCGCTATCCATTACTTCACTGTGCCTCCTAAAGAGGCCTAAAAGGGAATATTTATTTTGTATATAAAATGCACTATACTTCAAGTATGTTATTTATCTTCTTTTTTTTTTTTTAATTAGCAAATAAATGAATCATACATATGACTCAAATCATCTTTATTTAACAGCTGAACATGCTAGCTTTGGAAAACAAATGCAATTATTCCAATTAATGGGTTATTTGTTTCCAGAATGATAATACATAATTAGATTAGGCATGTAAAATAACCTTCTAAAATATAAAAAATTTTGATAGTTTTTGTGTGAAAGTGAATGATATAGTTATTCCTTACTTCTCTGCAGAACAAAGCCGTGAAACTGAAGCTACAATAGGTGAGTGTCAACATGTGAACTATACACCTTAATCTTTTATTATAGTGCTTGTTCTTGTATTATTAAAATTCATAAACTATTAACTATAGTGATAATACCTGACTTTTCCTGTGGATTAATATTCTCTGATTTTGTATATACTGCATTTGGTAATTTTTACCTCTACATAGTTTATTAAAAGTTGAATTACACATGATAGGCATTTTATTTAGGCAAAGTAGAAAACATATCCCTGTTTTATTTTAGTAGTAATTTTACATTGTCATTGTAAATGGTTATTCCTTTTTATACTTAATATTTGCTGCTCTCAATCTATTAAGAAATGATTAATTTTATTTGGTGATTTTTATGATTAAAATTTAAAAAGATACCAAATAGATTTCTGCATTCAAACCAATATTAGTAATTATTGTTTATTATATAATGGATTAAATGACTTTCTATTTATATCTCTGTTCTTTAGGTGCAGAGGTTGAAGTAAAAACTTCTCTTGGTGAGTTTAAAATTCTGTAATATAAATATGTATTAGTAAATGTCTAATAATTAAGTTAAATTTACCTTGGACATTAGACAATTTATCTGTAAAAATACATGTTGATTTATATGTTTAAAATAAGAATAAGAGTATATTGGTGTTTTTAAGCTTTTCTTTTAATGATTTAAAATACGTAGAAAAAAACATTTTAATACTTTTATTAAGTTGTTGTGGACACCATTACATTTATACACAATGTGGGTCCACTTCTAATAATGGGCCATAACAAGAGAAACATGAAATTAAAATAACATTAAATATATATATATAATAATTACAGATATTTATTCAAATGGTACAAACATGTTTGTTTGACTTTTGTTGTTGGTGGTCAGAAAACAGCTCAGTAAATTTTTACAGATTTGGGGTCAGTTGTCAAAAGAGATAGTTTCTAAATTGTCTGCCAAAGTGGAAACAAGGCAGAACTGTCATTGGCTCATCTACTGACCAGTCAAAGGACTTGTTATATGCTGGTTATGACAATGCTGTGAAAGAGACCTTTGGATTAGCCATTTTCTTTATTTTCTTAAAAGTAATCATTACAAAGTAACGGTTTCAACTTCTCAGTTTGCTGCAAAATAACTGAGACTTATTTGAATGTTTAATAGTGGTATTTTATCACTGAATTTCTATAATGAGGATTTATCATTATTTACATTTGGACTATAGATGAGGGCAATAGTCTGAATGTAAATAGTGGAAATAATGATATTTTAGTTGGAATACTTATTTGGGATAGATTGTATTAGTGGTTGATATTTGTTTCTTAAATTCTTCAGAACAAGCTCTTGAGACGGAAATAGCTGTTGGTGAGTTTCTAATTGAAATATCAGATTGTTGTTGTCTGCTTTTAGGATATAATCATACAATATTGATATGCAAACATTCATCAGAATTTTTGTTTGTTTTCACAATAGCAGTATTAATATGCTGAACTTTTTTACAAGTTCAGTGCTGATAGTAATGCAAAGAAGCACTATTTAAAACATGTTTGCTCATCTTAGCAATAATCATTCAATGTAAACAAAAAAAGATTCATTTAGCACTGAATATTTGTGTGAAATCACATGCTTTTTTTCTTGCTTTCACTCTTGCTTTATTGTTGATGTCACTCATAAAATGTGCTGAAGCATATTTCATTTTTTTTTTTTTTAATTTGCTTTCATACATTTATTGGTATTGGCTGATAAAATAATTTTTAATTATTTACTCCATTTTTGTTTCAACACTTGCAATATCATTGCTTCTGTGCTGATATCCACCTAAAAACCAAATATGTCGAGAGAGAAGCATATGCGTCTATTGATTAATAACTTATACTTAAAAAGTTTGTGATGTTTTAATAAAACCTTTTCATTGTTTGTATCCAAACACTGTTTCATCTGCTTTTAAATATTCAATCTCCATGTGCAAATATAGAATGCAAACTTTATCCAAACTTTCCACTGACTAGCCAATAATTACCCCCATATTACATTTTGGTTTTTAATCTCACTGGTGTGCACTGAAAGCTAGGAAAGGGCCTGCTGCATGCTCACAAGGTAAGAAGATGAAAGACAAACACCATGTTGAGTAATGATAACACAAACACTGTTTACATATTATAAAATAGCTATATTTATTCAGGGCTTTTCTTGCTTGTTTGTCTTTGTGTAAGTGACACTTGAGACAATTTTTGTTATGTCATCTCATCCCCTAACCAACTCCTTGTCCATCTGTACATCCTGACATCTGGCAGTCAATACGAATGGACAGTGACAGACAAGTCCGTCTTCTACCAAGGTTGGACCAGAACTGACTCTGATTGCAAACATGGGAATATTAATATAGACAGCACCTGGATACACCCCATTTCCGGTTTTGTTGTCACTTGATCTCTAAAAAATCCCTATCCACTCCTTTACTTTTTGTTTCCTCTTCAGTCAAAGTGAATGCCAGTTAGAAAACTAGACTTAACATCTTCATTTTCTATGTATGTGTTTATAGTATCATGAATGTGCTTTTTGTTACATTTGCTGTCATAATGTGTGATTGATCATTACAATTAGCCATTACAATTTAAAAATGCACATAACTTGTGGAATATGTCAAGCATTTTTTTCTAATTTGTTGAAGCACTGCAGTTCGCACTTTTTATTGCACTTCACAGTCTTTTTTTTTACTTGCATATTTTGATTATCATAATTTTTATTTTTTTCCTTTTTTCAGCCTTATTTACTTTTTTATCAATAACTTTGTAAATATCTAAAATATCTGCTGTTGGCAAATAACTGAAGTAATTGCTTATGTCTCTTAATACTGTATAAAAATATTTTCTTTTTATATTCTTTATGAGGATCTCTTTTTGTACATGTAATTTATTCGAACATTTTTTTTTTTTTTTGCATCATCAAAATTATTTTTATAGCATTTTGAATAAGAAGCTCTTGGTTATGCTGTCTCAAACAACTTTCATTTTTCTAGTCCTATTTAAGAAAAAGTTGGATTTTGTAACCCTATGATATAACATTTTATTAACTTGGGAAGTTTAACTCATTCAATTAGTTTTAGTTCATTAATATATCTTATGTAGTTCAATGTGGTTACTCTTTTAAACTTACCTTAATAAGAATTAAGTTATTACATAAGCTGATTTTACTGATGTGAAAATTTTATTACATCTTCACAGAGCAAGAACAAGCAGTACCAGCCACTACTGGTGAGTGACTAAATGACTAAAAATGCAAAAAGAATTGCTATATAGAAATTATCTAATTTCTAAATTGTATATGAATATCAGACATTTGTAGTTTTTATTAGTTTTTATAATTAGTATCTTTTAATTGATATGAATTTACTTTTTTTGGACATTCCAAAGATAGTTGTTTACCTATATATTTTTGGTGTATATATTATTTCCTAATATCTCAAGCAAGTCTAATTCTATTTTTTACATGATATCAAAATTCACCTGGGAAAGAACAAAGATATGATTAATATATGATTGAATAATTTTAGTAAATTAGATTATTTGCTTGATTTTAATAAAGTTAGTTGGAAATATAAATAAAGGTGATAGACTATGCAAATAAAAATATTTTAAAGTTCATTTGTGAAAAATAATGATTGGGATTATGAGCTACATCTTTTATGTAGTATATATTATATTCATTATATATATATATATATATATATAAAAGTGGACATTGAAGTCAACATCCAGAGGTTACAATCTGTTTCATGCTAAATGCAATCAATAACCTGATGATTGCATTTAGCATTAAACATATTCTCCCCTCTGGATGTGGACTTCAATGTCCACTTTTATATATGCTCTATCCCTGATATATATATATATATATATATATATATATATATGTATGTATGTGTGTTTTGCTTTTGTTAAGTTAATGATTAATAAATTAAAAATTGCTAAAACAAAATTTTTACAAGTCACTCTTTTGGTTTGGTAAAATGTATTATTATTTAGAAATCTTTCTACAATTTTTTCCTCCATATAGAAGTAGGTTTTATTAAATTAATATTGGAAAATATAGAACCAAGAAACTGCACAATTGTCTCTTGCCTAAATAGTTATCTGCTTGCATAGGTCATTTATATTAGTGGATAATTTTGATTTGTAGCAGAAAGCAGAATATCTAACATTTCACAAATTTAATACCTTAAGACAAAATAATTTTTAATTAAAATAAATATTCTTTGCTGTTTAGTCATAGTAACTGATAAAGCATTTATTGCTTTCCACAGAGCAAATTACTGAAATAAAACCAACAATTGGTAAGTTTTTTGTTTTGTTTTTTTAGGTAAAACAATAAATCCATTATTAATCTCATATAATATTTTAAGCACTATTTTTTGTTTAGATGATTTAATCCGACTTTTGAATTATCTGAAAAGCAGAAAAATATTATGAAAATATTCCTATTTTTATTCAAGTTATTTCATATTGTTTTCGAAAAAATATCTTGATCTTCATTATAGTGAAAATATTTTTAAATTTGTATTTTAAATATGAAAAAAATCATTTTGGAGTCATCATTCATAATAATCATTATTAAAGACAAGTGTGTATGTATGTGAGAATAAAGCAAGAGCATTGGAATTTGTTGTAAATCCTATTTGCTCTGAAATAATCTATTGTGTTTTTAATGTATGGGAATAATGTTTATTTATTACCTCTATACAGAAAAAAGGCATGAAGCTGAGCCTCTTATTGGTGAGTGTCTATAATATTTACTATCTAGAACATGAGTCTTCTATATATCTAGTCATTTTAATTTTGATATTGAGAACCAGGATATAATTACTTGGAAATTTGAATTACATAGGATAGAATAGATCACGACTTTATCATATTTGTTTATTTCCATTTTGTCATGTTCAATATTTGTAGAAAATAAGTAAATTTTAGAATCTGTTATCATTTTTAAAATAATAAACAAGGTTCAAAATGTACTGAAAGTCATGTATTTCCTTGGTTATGATAATTTAGAATACTTTTCAACTGCTGATATCTAAATACAAATATTTTCATGAAATATTTACAAAATGCATAGAAAATGTAACATTTATTAACAAGAAAATTACAGCATGATTATAGTATAGGTTTATAAAAGGTGTATTTACATAAATGTGTGTGCGAGTTTATGCCAAGGTAAATAATAAATATTTATTACATTTGTGCAGGTGAAGATATTGAAGTAAAGACTGCTTTAGGTGAGTGCTTAGATTTTGAATTAAGAGGACAAAATCATTTCTTCATAATAAAAGAATGTATAAAAACTAATAGTTCCAATATTTTCTACATGGTATATTTATTTCAAGAACATTTAAATAGATTACATTTTTTGACTTGAATAAAAATATAAACATGATAATTACTTAAATGGGAATATTTAAAATTGTACTTATATGAGAGAGAGAGAGAGACTGATGAACCAGAACATGATGATCACATTCAATCGTGATGTTTTAACCAGGGAAAAATTAACAACTGCTCTTTAGACTTGTACAGAATGAATATCAATGTAAAAAGAAATTGCTGGTAATTTGAATCATGGCGAAGAAAGAGATGCATTAAAATGCACAAAACATTGATCTTTGTTATATTTTGGCTTGTGTAACTGGAGGCCACTCCTAATATCTTTGTTAACTAATGTTCATTACCAAAAGCAGCTTCAATGAGCATGTGCATATTGAAACTGGACCTTGTATCACTGGAAAAAGGTCATCTAGTCTTATGAGTCTTCTTTCTGAATAATGGAGATGGAAGTCTGTGTATGTCATTATCATGGGAAAGCAATAACATCAGGATACACTGTGGAGGCTAAATGATGGTTTAAGCAATGCTCTACTGAGAAATATTGAGTTTTATCATTCATGTGGAATGTACTTTATTAAACGGTATCTACTTCAGCATTATTGAAGACCAGATTACACTTCTTCATTTCAAAAATCTACTATGATAAAAGCAACATCTTTCAGCAGGGCATTGCTTGAGTTGTATGGGAATAGATTCAGGAACATGAAAAAGACTTCACTGTGCTATCATGGCCACCAAAATTCTCAGATATCACTCCTGTTGGAAAGTGTTGGACCAAAATGTTTACTCTGCAGAACTTCCACAATGTATCTTCAGGCAGTTAAATGATCATTCATTAATTTGTTGGCACCAGATCTCAAAGGCCATATTTGATTGGAAGGTAGTTGTTATAGAGGAACATAGAAGACCAGTAATTTATGAGATAGGTTGTCATAATGTTTTGACTCATCAGCTGATATATATATATATATATACACACACACACACACACACACACATCCTTGTGCAAATTAATTGAAACAAAATGAATAATTCCATTATTATTTAATTTTTTTCATATTTTTCCAATGAAACATGACTGAGTGCACATGTTAGTAATTTGTATGTCCATTCCATGAAATCATTCCTTGCAGATTGACTGCAGATTCTTGATTGGATTTAAATGAGGAGAGTTTCTGGACCAGTCTATAGTACTTTGATTTGCTCACTGGTAAGGATTGCCAGTGTTCATGCAGGGTTACAATTTTCGTATGCTTCCTTGGAGTAATGTCCATTGCAAACAATCTCATTACGACAACTAATTGACAGTTAAGACAATAGTGTCTGGGCTTGATAAAAATGCAATCACGGATAACACAATATATTTCAAGGCCAAACAAATTTCAGCATACACCCTGAAAATAGATCCATACACTACTGCAAATGACCTAATTTGGGGAAAAATAGAAATTGATTACACCCTGTCACTCCAGTGTGTCTAAAACTGACTGTATGGTGAAAGAAAGGAAACTAAAGCAGTTGTTTGAATTAATTTGCACAAGGGTGTGTATGTATGTATGTGTGTGTGTGTGTGTATATGTGTATGTTTATATATATATATATATATATATATATATATATATAATTTGTTCACAAATAAGTGAATAGTCACTTCAATATGTGAACAAAGTTTATTTATTATTAATGCTCTATCTCTTTATATTGAGCACTATAATTACAAAGACTGTTTGCCTTAAAGCATTGTCTTCTGGAATTACTCTGTTCTTTGGCAAAATACAGTTTTTATCCATTTTATATATAGTTCCATGTATATAAGCAGCAAATGTTTCTTAAGGCAAATATTATTAAAAATGATAGTCATGAATTATTGATTTTTTCCAAATTAAGAATAACCCTTCTCAGACAAAGAGGAAATTTCATGTTAAATTGTCCAAAGTTCATTTTGGAAGTGAAGTACAAGATATACTTTGGAAAAGTTGAAAGCTTGGACAATATATCTTGTATTTTAGTGAGTGTTGTGATCTAGGTGAGGTGTGATATGTGTTTTTGTTTTTTCTTATACATTTGAGGATGCGGGTTCTTAAGTTATAATTGTTTTTATTTATTGATAGTTTTTCTTGTTGTATGAGTTTTGCTTCAAGAATCATAATTCTGTTTTTACTATCTCTGAGATGAGGTATTATGATTTTTTAGTAATCTGTTTTTACTGTTTGATTTTGCTGGTATTTAGGTATTGTTTATGAATAGATGTCTAATGTTACTATGATCCTTATGCTGCTTATTAATGTGTTGTCTGATTGCTCTCACTAGTTCTACAAAATTCATCAATTGTCTCTACCTCCCCTGATGATAACTTAAGAAAGTTGAAATATTAGACCATATTTCATGTACTTTTCTTCCAAAATAAACTTTGGACAATTTCTGATAAAATTTCCTCCTTATATGTGAAGGATTATTTGTAATTTGGAAAAGTCAGTCATTAATTTAATCGACACAAAATGTCTATCATTTTTAATAATATTTGCCTTTATATATACTGTATATTCTGTAACATTGAGTGCTTTATTTTGATTTATTGAATGCTACAGTTATGAACAAAAAGAAAGATTTGCATGACTCATGTGTATATATATATATATATATATATATATATATATATATATGTGTGTGTGTGTAAGAGAAGGAGAGAGATAAAAATTTAACATAAAATTAAAAGCTTTCACAATTTGTCAATTATAAGTAAAAATTTATTTTTTGTTGACTGCTGATAAAATATTTTTTATCTATTTGCAATATGACTTGTTAATACTTCTGTTCATTGCATTTGACAGAACAAGCACATGAAGCAGAAATAATAACTGGTGAGTGTAACATTAACACTGTTAACATTAGCTAGGAAACATGGGATGCATTTGATAGACATATAAAGTATTTGATTGAAGAAAATATTTTCATATTTACAAAGATACTTTAATTTGACTGTCTTTTGCTCTGATGTTTTATTACACCATGCTTGTTTGCAAGCACTGCAATTTGTATTTTGTCTGCTTCTATAATTCATTGTCTTAAACATGCTTTTCTGTTGGTGTCTGCTTTTAGAGACATAAATAATGTTTGCTAACTGATGTGTTATGTCCAGTTGCTAGCAGGCAAACCAGGTAAGGGTAGTCCAAACTCTTGATAATTTTGGGTCTGTCAATCCTATTACATATGGGTGGATGAAATCACTTATAGACCTAAAGGTGATGATGGCATTATCAGCAAGTGCAGTAGAATATATCAGAGTATGGAGGAAACACACAGTTTCCTGCACATCTACTGCAGCCTGGAAGTTTCCAGTTGTAACAATTCCTTGTACCATTAGATAAAAACTCCCCAAGAACTGGTATTACCTCCTGTATAATGATTTTCCCACTATAAATTCTTCCTACACAGATCTGTTTTGAAAATACATAATTATTATAAAAGATGTGCATCCAGACTTGATTTGTGGAGCCACCTCTGTATCCACTGAATGAATTGCAAGACAAAGTCTTCATCAGACCCAAAGGACAATCATATGTCTAGTTGCTATAATTGTTTTTCTCACTCCAAAACTTATATGTCAGTGTTCTTTGTTGATGTCTTTAGTCACTATCAGAATATGCTGATGTTATATTTTGTAGCTGATATATAATATTAACTGTCACTGTACTACTAAAAATTGGCTCTTTTATGCATTTATTTAACCATTTTTCTAATAAATAAGAATTACTTTAGTATTTTTGTGTCATTATTGTATGGGCAATGTTTAACCATTGTACCTTCAAAAAAAACAGCGTGTCAAAAGAATGGTTACTTCCTAGACACCAGTATTTCTTAAAAGTTAATACTGGTGTCAAGTTTATTTAATTTAATCCCTTGCCAATGTTTATTGACAAGAGTATAAAAATATGTGAACCAAGTACAATGTAATATTTATTATTTACCATTTTATAAAGAAATAATTTTGAAAAGAAATTTTTTTTATTCAAAAATTTATAAAAAATTACAAAATTATCAAAATATCCCAGAAGAGATGCTCTCAACTTATTTAGTGAATTAATGTGACAAGAATGAAAGAAATGCCTGGAAAATGCATTTTTCAAAATTTATAATTACTCGTTATGACTTAAATTTTCTTGTTCAGACTTTTCTAAATGTATGAATAAAAAATTTCTCTTTATATTTGGTTTATATATCTTTATAATCTTGTAAATATAAAATTATACTTGTAAATAAGCAATCCAATAAAAAGTGTTTAATATCTTCATTGTCAATTCTCAAGAATAAAGAAAAAGTATAAATCCATTTTCATATGTCTTGGTTTTATTAAAATTCTAATCATTGCTATTTAAACAATCAACACTGCCAAGGGAGTTGAAATTGAATACAGTAATAGTGATGTCCATTCTTTTGATACATCATTTTTTTTTGTGGGCAACAAAGGTTAAACATTGATGTTGTATGAAAATACTCTAATATGTTGCCTGTGTCAACAGTGTCATAGAAGCATTAGTATGCAAATTAATCTTAATGTTGTTTATGAAATCTCTTTTTAAGCAATTGATTTCAATCTTCTTTCTATCATGTTAAAATTTATTAAAATTGCACATTTCTTTTTAAATATCCCTTAGGTTATCAGTGGTGTCTGTGTAGAGAGGATAGATAAAAAGTTTCTAGGAATACACATTGTAAAGGATCTCTCCTGGACTAGCAATACCATTGCATTAGTACTGAAAAGACAGCAGCAACTCTAGAAATTACTAAGAATTCTGAGAAAAAATAATTTACAAAAATAGCTGCTGATGACCTTCTACCACTGCTCTATTGAGAGTGCGCTGGTATATGACATCACTGTTTGATATACCAGTTGCTTGGCATCAGACAGGAGGGCTCTCAATGTTTCCCTGAAAATAATTGGCTGCTTGTTGCTCTCACTTGCCAATGTTGCAGAAAACATAATGAAAGACAGCATGCACCTGGGGTACCACTTATTTGATTTGTTATGCTCAGGGTAACATTTTATATCTATTAGTTTTAAGACAAAACACTTGGTGGACAGCTTTTATCCTTTGGCTCTGTGTAAAATGAATGCTGCTGCATGCTGACAATTTTAAATGTATTTACTTTTATTTATTTGATGGTGTGTGTGTATATATATATATAAAATCCTTCTACTTGCCTGAGGAGACTTTGTGGTCGAAACCTGGGTAGTAAGGTAGACTGCTTTTTCAGCCTCTCTTTACAGTATATTATCTTATATGTATTGTGTGTATGTATATATATATAGAGAGAAAAGAGAAAAAAAAAAAGATACATTGAAGTCAACACCCAACAGCATTATGGGTGGGTCTATTATTATTCTAACAGTTATTGAGTGGATGGTAATGGTTATGTTTCAAATTGTTCTAGGGGTCATTGGGTAGAAATTGTTATGGATCCAAATGTAGTTTTCTGTCTAGTTTTAGTTGATTGTTAACTGTTTTACTCATTATTTATTATTGATTAATAATTATTAGAATAGTACAATATACCTACCCATAATGCATCATTGACCAATATATATAGTCAAGTCAAAACACGACATACATGGCCTGAAGATTGAATTTAAGCATGAAACACAGTTGACACTGGGTGTTGACTTCAATGTCCACTTTTATATTTGCATATGCTCTATCCCTGATATTGAGCACTTTAACCCATAAATTTAGCATATATTTATATATTTATTCTATATCTTTATCATATATATATATATATATATATATATATATATATTTTTGTTGTTTATTAAGTAATCATAAAGCTAAGAAAATACATAGGGTTCCTTGTTATGCTCAGTTGTTGTCTTTCTTGATATTTGCTGTTAAAAAGTAATTAATGTATCTACTTGTGTACAGAAGCATTTCTGTAATGAGATTAGGTTTCTTGAATAATGAAAAAATAAAATTTATTTACTTTTTGCATGATTCCTTTATGCATCATTTTAGAAATTTTTGTAATATTTAGAATTTCAAACGTTTCTAAATATTCTCTTTGATGAAATTTTTTTCTCATTTTTTTGCCCATGTAGAATTTCGTAAGGCTTAACTTTAAAAAGAATAATTAACATCCAGATTTTGTTCAGACAGTTTCAGAAGCACTCCTTTGTGTTTTTGTTATTGTTGTATTATTTTGGTTGTACCATTCTTCAGCCCTCTTCAGATGAAAGGGCTTACAGCCATAACATGTTGAAATACTTGTTCTTGTATAATTACCAAAATTAAACAACATCAAGCCTGGATGACTGTTTGGGAATACCAGGTGCTGTAAGCTTGGATTTGTGGGTGATGTAATGAATAATGGCTTGGAATTGGAAATCTGTTGGATTCGTTATATTCCCTTAAACACACAAATACCCTCAGGAAAGGTATGAATCCAACTCTTCTCCTCCCCAGCTATGGGTTAATTAGTAGGACTCATATCAATAAAACATTATTTCCAAATAATTCTTACAATCTAAAAATATTTTCTAGCTTTAATTAACCTACAAAAAGTTGATAAGCTGTAAAAAATATTGCAACCAACCAATCTTCAGAGGAAAGCCTTAGCTCAAGGGGAGATAAAAATGTTTGGTGAAGCTGATCATATGCAGGGTGAGGGGTATTTAAGTGCATCAATCAGGCTACTATGGGTTTCATTATTCCATGGTTTTCTTTGCTTAGCAAAGTATTGTTAGGAACCTTCCTGTAGTCTGAACCATCTGGGTACATAAGTAGAAGTGTAGTTACATCCATGTACATTGCTGAAATAGGCTTATCCAGTTGGTATATTAATGGCCACCACTTTTCTTATGGATTGTGCACTTGATAAAAGTTAAAGAATTATTTTTATACTAATGTTCACTTAATACAAGACCCATGAGCTGTTCAAGGCTCATTACTGTTTGGTGTTGTGTGAGCATAAGAAAAGGGAAGTGCAGGTTATAAAGGAAAGAATATGGTTAACTCTTGACTTGAAGAAGTCAAGATTGTAGTGAAAAGCAAAGACATCCTACTGGGAGACTGTTTCATAAAGCAGTAGTTTTTGGGAAGATGCTGTCTGAGTAGAGCTTAATTAATAGAATATAAAGGGAATGAGGATGATTAATTCTTGTAGACCTGGCAGAGATCAGGGCTGGTGGAACCAAGGAATATAGGCGGTCAGAACATTTACCACTTTAGGAACATAAAGAACACAAAAAAATAGTATGAATGTTCAAATAAAATTTTGTGTAACAGTGATTAAAAGCTAAATCAGAATAAATTAATATTGATATTTATATATTTTCTGCAGAACAAGAATATGAAATAACTACAGTCACTGGTGAGTGTTATAAAAATTATGCTTACTATGCAGGTCATTATATAGTATTGAAAATATATGACTAATAATTATCATCTTTTATATTATAACATTATTCTGTCATAAAAGATGATTATTATGCAGATCATTATATAGTATTGAAAATATATGACTAATAATTATTATCTTTTACATTATAACATTTTTTGTCATAAAAGATGCTTATTATGCAGATCATTATATAGTATTGAAAATATATGGCTAATAATTATCATCTTTTACATTATAACATTTTTCTGTCATAAAAGATGCTTATTATGCTGGTCATTATATAGTATTGAAAATATATGACTAATAATTATCATCTTTTACATTATAACATTTTTCTGTCATAAAAGATGCTTATTATGCTGGTCATTATATTGAAAATATTAAGTTGTCACATATGAAATGATGCACTTTATAGGAAATGAATGAAATGCTTCAAAAGTGTTAAATAACTTATTTATTAGTTGAAATAGGCACCACGTGACTGTTCTTCAATGTACCTTTAAATTCTTGATCCCATCTTTAAAAAAAATTCTCATCCTTTGATTTGATAAACAGTTCAAATGCTTTGATTCCCTCTTCCTTATTGGAGAATGTTTTATTGCATATGAAAAGCTCAAAATGCTTAAATAAATGATAATCAGTAAGAGAGATATCAGATGAATATGGAGGATGAGGCAAAATTTTTAATTCAGGCTATGCAGCTTTTGGACAGTTGATTGAGCAGCTGTGTGTTGTTGTGCATTGTCATACAGCAAAATTAGGCCATCCCTATTCACAAGTCTAGAATTTTACTTTCCAATTTTTTGTGAATGCACTCAATTTCTCTACAACCCAAGATTGCTGTTATTGTTTTCCCTTGAGGCAATAATGAATAACCCCTTTAAAAGACCACCATACTGTAACCATTAACATTTTGGGGTATTGTTTTGGTGATTCACTTGAATATAACAATTTACTCTCTTACTGTTGTCAAAGAGTATCCATTTCTCACCACATGTAATGATTCAATGCAAAATGGTTCTTTTTCTCAGTTTGTACTTATACAGTAAAATTAGTCAACATTGTTTCATTGTAATCATTCTCATTGAGCTTATGAGTAACAATATATTGAAAGAAAAAGGGTCAGGAATAAGTCAAATTTTTTATATATACTAAGGAATTTACTTTGTTAGATGACCAGATCAACAACCAACCAAAAAATGTGTCATTTCATGTGTGACAACCTAATATATAACTAATAATTATCATCTATTATATTGAATATAACATTTTCTTGTCATAGAAAAGTTGCTTATACAGGGAGCGATGAATAAATTGTCATCTAAATTATGCAAAAATGACAATAACACTGACATCTCATTTTAGCAGAAATATTTACCAAAATTGCACAAAAATATCTTGAAATACTAAAGAGTAAATTTATTCAATTAATTTGGCATTGACTTCAACCACGGCCTCCAGATGACTTCAGAATCTCCTACAACTCTTCTGGACAGTCTCCTTATTTAAGTTGCTGCCATAATCCTTGTCTTCAGTTTGTCTTTGATGTTAAAAGGAGTTTTGTTGATCTCTTGCTCAACTGTGCCCCACACAAGTGAATTGTAGTCTGGGGTGTTAGGTGGCCAGATGTAAGTGGTGATGTGGTCACAGAAATTGTCTGACAGCCATGACTGTGTTCACCTGCTTGTGTGGCATGGTGCAGAGTCCTGTTAACAGATATAGGGTCTTCCAGCACTACCTCCTCAAGGCACTTGATGTAGAGCTCTGTGTTGAGTCTGAGACCCTCACCAACAAATTTGGGAGTTCTTTTCTTATCAGAATGATCAGAGTGAGTTTTTTCAGCTGCTGTAGCATTAAACTCATTCAACTTTTTCTGAATCCTCTTCACTGTCCTTAACATTGAAACACTCTGAAATGTTTGTATTGGAGCTTCTGGTGCAAATGCCAAGCAGTACAGCATGCTGTTTCCTAATTTTTTGTGGAGTGAATTGTGTAATGATGCTCTTTTTCTCACAGATGACCCTTCTATGCTGTGAAGTCAAGAAACCCAAAACAAACAATATACATGCACAAAATTAAAAATATAAAATAGCAACAATTTACCTATCGCAACCTGTATGTGTACTTACCTACTTTTATTATTATCATTCATTTTTAGTTACTTCCAGATGAGAATCTAATTTCATATTAGCTTGTCAAAACTATCATCAGATTCAATGATATAAATTCCTTGATACTGGATTATATGTAGTGGGTCAAGATCCTGTTTAATTATAAAGTATTCAAGAGGCAAATAATATTTAAATTCTATTTTGTATTGAATAAATATATTTCTACATTTTTAGAAATTGTTAATAAAGCTTTTCATTACCTTTTCTCAGAACAAACAACTGAAATAAGACCTACCATTGGTGAGTTTATAAAAACTTACATATATTTCAAAATTGTTATCATTAAGACTATTCTACACATAGGTGTAGTCTATGTTCTATAGTAATTTGAATTTCTTATCTATAGTTTTATCACATAAATAATATTAACACCTAATAATAATATTAAATTTTTTTCTTAAATTTAGATGCCATGTACCATTTTCTTCTTCTCTAAATATACTTTCTGATTATCATTGGCTTTTATGTTAAAATTCATAAATGTTAAAGATCAAATTATTAATGATTATCCTGTTAATGCTTTAAAAGAAATATTGCTATGTGCATCAAATGAATAATATAAGTGTTCATTCCTTTTAACAGAACATAAACACCAAGAGGAAGTTATCTCTGGTGAGTGGCTAAATATATATATATATACATACATACATACATACATACATACATACTCATGTAATATTGAAGAAAATTATTTCATATTCCTAAAGAAATGGTCTTAGCTTTATCAGAATATACTTTATAAAATAAATGAAAAATATATGTCTGCATACAAATCCAGGATCTTCTCTTGTTGGAGGAACCTTTCTCTGTTTGACCTCTGCCACTTTCTATCTCTGATCATACTGGGCCATGTGGGGCTGAGATATCAGGTCATATCATCACATCATCATCACTTTGGCTTCCCTCTAGTTTTTTCCACTGCCCTGGTGTTCAATCTGTCATTCTAATAGCCCACCTGTTTTCTATGAGATGAGAGACATGGCCAGCCCATCTGTTTTTGCCTTCTTGATGGTCTCAGTTATGTCCTACACTTCATCTGTTGTCAAAATCCAGGTGTTGCTCTTCTTGCCATTTAAAGTCATGCCAGGCATGATAAACTCCATTTTACTTTGGGCCACTGTTAGCGTCTTTGCAATAGTGTGTTGAGCACCCATTTTTCATTTCCATAAGTCATCACCAACAGAAAATATTTATTAAACAAATTTCTCTTGGTTTCAATTATTGACTTGGTACTTCTCATGATGCTATAAACTTTTTCAAAAGCCATCCAGCCAAGCAAAATCCTTCTTTTGGCCTTGAGAAATAGGGTACCATCTCTTACAATCTTCTTTCTAAGGTATATATGTCTATTTCCTTGATAGTCTTTCCATCCACAATAGCTGGTGATGGTTTTGTGTGGCTGTTAAACATGACCTTGGTTTACCCAAGTTGCATGTTATGGCCCACTGGTTGACTCACAGAGTGGATGGCAAGTTTTCATATTCTCATTTAAAATATCAAATTCCCAGTGTATCATATTGTATCTCAGCTTATGGAGGTCTTTTGTGGATGTAGGTTTTCTCCAGATAATGGGGATTAATGGGTCATTACCCTACTACACTGGCCCAATGCTTGTTGGTGTGATGTTTAGGGAATCATATCTGTTTTTGATTCACAATCAAACAAAAAGGGTATATGCATGTAAGTGAACATAATGAACTTGACTGCAATTTGAACTTGGTGCTCTGATTTCTCATTCTGAGCCATCATCCCTTACAACACATATTATTCTCAAGAGGTCACCCATTTAGGTACTGACCAGGTTCCATATTGCTTAACTGGTGATCTGACAAGAACTGGTATTTCAGTGTGATATGGCTGTAAACTCTCAGCATACCACAATATAGTAAAAGCAATTTGATAAATTAATTGTAAGCTAAATCAGCTTAATTAACTTTTCTTGTATAAATACAAATAAATGATCAGTTTTTAGTTTATTAGCTCCTTCTGCTTGAGTGCCTGTTGCACATGTTACAACTGTTGTTAGTACTGCACCACTTGTTGACTAGTCCACCATATACAGAGCATGATCTTGTGTGGGTGTAGAGGTGGACATGGTGTAAGGCAGAGGGTCCCATGGTGACAACCAATGTCAGGCATACTTGGGAGTGTCATACATTATCCACTTTTTGTCACTGGTGAGCACTTGATCAAATATGAGTATATTGTGGCCCTGAGAAAGCAATGATAAACAGGCTGTCACCCATTGTTGCTTGTTGGCTTCAGACAATGTGTGGGGTACCCACTTGCTCAACTTGTACACCTTCCCTGTGGGGTGCAGGTGAAGTCTGACTGTTTCATCAGAAACCTGCAAGCATTCGGCAAACTCACCACAAGTTTGGGTGTTATCCTCCTCTACGGCCACTTTCAGGGTCTCATCATCCAGGATCTTTGGCCAGCTACTGTGGGGTTTATTACAAAGGGACAGATTGCTGACCTAAACATTTGGAACCAATGCCTGGGGGTGTGTTTATGCACAGCATTATCCTCAGTGGCTTAACATATTCAGCAACTTGATGTGGCTATGGACAAACCCACTTTAAAGTCACAAAGCAGAGAATCCCAAATGAGCTGCTTTGACACAGCCATGTCTCCTTGCCACTGCTCGAGCAATGCCCTGACTGATTTCCTGGCACATGATACACACATTTGCATAGCAGTTATCACTTCTTTCCACACAATGTAAAATATAGCAAAAAAAGTTTTTAGTTACCTAATAATTAACTATTGTTTAATTTATTAGTAATTAAATATTGTTTTATTTATTATAATAGAATGTATTGAAAGGTATCATGTAGAATAGTTTCAAAATAATTTAAAAGAAATAATTTTGTGCATAAATAATGATGTAATTTTCATATCTGTACTGGTGAAGATATTCAAGTAAAATTTGTTTTAGGTGATTGTTCAGTTCTTCTGAGAAATAATATAAAGTCATATAGAATTCATTAAAAGGAATGTTACAGTCCTTTTTTACACAATTTCTTGTCATAGTATGTACTTGAAATTAGACATTTTGATAGAATTAAGAACAAAACGTATTTTATAGATTTTATTCATTGTATCATGAAAAATGTTTATGAGAAAGGATTCTTAATTTTAAGATAATATCGATAGTATGTAATATTATTTACAGAACCTTATCTCTTCACTATATAAGGACTTGACAAAGATATTCTTAATACAATTATAATACAAATGCTGTATATTAATTAATGCTAGAAGTAATTTAAAAGTTAACTATGTATAAGGGTAAGTCAAAAAGTAATGCAGTTTGTTTTATTATATAAGAAATAAGGAACACAAACATATCATACATCAAGATATAGCTATACATCATAGGTTCACATCCCTACTTCTCAACATAGTCACCACCCGTTTCAATGGCAGTGTCCTCCCGAAACGGGTGGTGACTATGTTGAGAAGTAAGGATGTGAACCTATGATGTATAGCTATATCTTGTTGTATGATATGTTTGGTTAAGTTCCTTATCTCTTATATAATAAAACAAATTTCTTTACTTTTTGAATTACACTCATCATTAATATGTAAAACATGAAACAATTATTTTTGTATTTTAATAATGTAACTATTACATCCAACAGAGCAACCTTGTGAAGTTCAAGAATCATTTGGTGAGTTTTAAACTAACACTTTTAAAATTCCATATAAAACACTGTATGTAGAATTAATTCAAAGAAATGGTTAGATCATTTTTTAGAGTTTTATATCATGATATGTACTTGAAATTAGACATTTTGATGAAATTAATAACAAAAAGTATTTTGTTCATTTGATGATGAAAACCATTTACTTGAATTGTTTCTTAATTTTAAGATAGTGAAGATAGTATGTAATATTATTTATAGAACCTTATCTCTTCAAAGTATGAAGACTTGATAAATATATTGGTGATTCAATTATAAGTATAATTATAGTAAGTTAATTAATGCTAATAGCAGTTCAAATATTGTGTAGGATAAAATATTGAAAAAATTATTTTTTATTTTTAATAATTAATATAATCATTGCATCCAACAGAGCAACCTCGTGAAGTTCAAGATTCATTTGGTGAGTTTTAAACTAACAATTGTAAAATTCTATATAAAACATTGTTTGGAATACAAAGTATCTGGTGAAAATAGCCTTGAAATTATTTCAAGATCTGGCTAAGATACTTTGTTCATATGTTGATGCTGTCATAATTTTGCATGTTGTGTCCAAACACTGCAGTTGATTTCTTCTGCAGATCATATCAATGTGCTTCTCTGTGGATGTCTGCTTTGAGTAACAGGCAAAATATGTTGATAAAGTGTGTAGCTTTTCTTAAAGTTTTGTGTTTAAGCTTTGTATCCTGTATACTGTCTGCCTCCACAACTGGTATAACATAACAAAAAAGTCTTTTAAGATTTAAAGGCATCTTCTATTTTTTTTTAATCATTCCACCTGCAAGGTAATAAAACCACTAAGACACAAGGGGTTACTGAGTGTGAGAGAATAGGGCTAAAAGAACATTATTAAGGAGAAAGAATGATAAAAGAACAGGAATTAAGAAGGCAAAAGATAATGATTGATATTGCATTTAATTTTTTTCAAATCAAAGGAAAACAAAAAGATAGAAGTGAGTTTCACAAATGTCTGCTTTTTTTTGCAATGGAGAATGTGAGGTTGGAGACAAATTACTTTTATTAATGAGTGATTTCTTTTGTAGATGGCTTTAATAATTTTTAGTGTATATTTGATATTATTTTACTGTTATTTATGAGGAGTTGCTTAATGTTACCATGGTCCTTATGGTGCTTATTAATATGCAGTTTGATAGAACTTTATTCTGATAAATGGCATGTAAATCTTTGGGAAAGTGTGGTTATTTTGTGTGTATATACATATATTCAATAAATCAACAAAAGTTCAGTTTGATTTTTGTAACTAACCAACTTGAGAGTTTCTTTTCAAAATGTTTATCAGCACCTGATGTTTGATAAATTTGTTTAAATTATTATCAAATCTCATATTTATACTCCTCAGAAAAACATTAATCATAGCTTTCAGAGTGAAAATTGAAAATTCTTACCATGTTAGAGTTTTATTAAAAATGTATCAATATTTAAACTTAGAATCAGCTAAAATGCTTTTTTTATATCACTATATATACATACACATATATACATGTTTTATATATATATATATATATACACTAGAGTTCAAAGGTTTTATATTTTTTTAATTTTTTTATAGTGAAATTTATTTTTTAGCAGGTAGCTTTGTTTTCATTAGTTATTATTTTTATATTTACTCACTAGTAATTTCTGAAAATGAGTTTGAGTGAGAAGGTTTGGGTAAGTTGTAACTCTGGGTAAATGATTATAAACACCTAAAATTTTATATAAACAAAACTACTCGTAAAAATGAGCAGCAGCAAGACATTTTCAGTTAGCATTGATGTTTAATTATAGCAAATGTGTATTAGCAAAAAGCTGTTTCAGAAATATTTCTTGTATATTGTATGATATACATTTTGAACAAAATTCATAGCAGAATTATTGCTTTTGCTTCTTGTATTTAATGCAATAATATTTTAAAAACTCATTGCTTTTTCTATGTTCACAGGTGGTTAATCTCTAATAAAGAGGCTTTTGTTATTTTTGCTCAAATTTCATTGCATATTAAGCTTGCTTTTTTGTATTTTTCAAATTTTTTTTTGTTGAATTATTAGGTTAAGTTGATAATTGGTGAATATGTATGAAATCTTTTTAATATATGTGATTGCGATGAATGTGCTTTTCTTTCATACCAGTTAACTGATCAATGCTAGGAATTTTGCTTTTGATTGTTGTATGCAGTTTTACTTTTTCATTTGCTTTTGAATCTTAATATTTGTATCTGGTTTTTGTTTTTGGCAAAATTTCTATTTTGTTTTAAGAAAAGAATGTACAATGTTTAATGATGTATAATACAAAGTAAATATATTATTTTTGTTCATGAATATTTTTATTGTGTCTTATGATTTGTGCTTTCTGGTTGATATTTAGATGGTAACTTTTAGAGACTCTAGTTTTTCATTCTATAAATAATTACCTTTGTTACTTAACATTGCCAGTCCTGGAGAGATTTCAATCTCTAGAGTCTTAAGTAATTTTTTTTCTTTTAATCATTTTAAAATTTAAACATTTTCTAGCACTGTGTTAGACAGTTTTTATTGCCGGAATATATCTTAGACATTTATAAGTCTACCATTCACATATAGTTTTTGATTATATGTGAATTGTGTGAAAGTGCAAGTAACATGTTTGGCTTTGCTAAACTTTTGCTTTGAGTAATCCCTTGTAGACTTTTGATTGTACGTTTTAATTAAGGCTAAGGATTGATAACACTGATTTATGGAAGAAAAATTTATTTAGGTATTATCAGAAATATTTTGTGATGCATTAATCAGTACTCCATTTTTTATTGATACTGTATTTCTTAGTACATTTGATTTCTGTGTATTATGCTTATAGTAGAATTGTAATATAAACAAGATATAATATCAGTTTGTTACATTTTCTACAGAACAAGAACATGAAGTAACAACTCTCACTGGTGAGTGTCTGAATCAATATAAACTTTGATATATGTACAAAGACTTAAATATTTTATAGTTTTTAACATATACATCACCAACAAGTTATCAAAAGTCCTAATATATATTTCCTTTTTTATAAATTATACTGATCTATTAGATTTATTATAGATTTATTCTGTAGTTAAAAATCTTCAGTCTTGTACTTAGCATAATTGTATGACTATATGTTTTTTTTTAATATGCTTAGATGAAAAATAGATTGTTAAGGATGAATTATTTTCAAACTACAAATCTCTATTACTTCTATTTTAGACAACTATGTCATTTTTAAGATTTAATTTCTCAAATTAAACAAATTTCCATTAACAATGTAAAATGAAATACAATGATCTCCTATTGTGATCTTACAACACCAGCAACAGCTAAAATGGATATCATATAACTTGAAGAGAAAATAATGACTTACGATGTTGACATTCCCCACTACTACAAATAAAAGATGATAGGAAGGAAGCTCCCATCAGCCCCCATCAATATGAGAATTTTGTTAAAAATGATTTTGATGAGAAGTTGTTTTAAGAGAAAAACAGATTGTTAAACATGAAATATTTTAAAACTACAAATTTATATTAATTCTATGTCATATTTAAGCTATAATTTCTTGTTAAAGAGTTAAACAAATTTACATTAATAATATAAAAATCTGTTATAAGTATGTTAACAAATATTGTTTGCATTTACACAGAGCAAACTACTGAAACAGTGCACACCATTGGTGAGTTATCAGTTATATTCATAAAAAAAGCTATTATCATAAACCATAATGATATTTCAGAAATAAATGATCTACGATAGGAATATCCAATGATTTTATTTGTTCAGATAAGTATAATCTTAGTTTAACACATTGATTGCCAGAAGTCAGTTATGAAATCTGACTTCAAGCATCAACTTCATGATATAATAGCTAACTTAGCAATAAACATTTTTTTATGGTTACCAGTTTTTGTGGCTACCAGTGAATATTTTAATAGATATTTTCATCTGATCACTCTGCTAAAAATGGCTAATTTCATACTTGGCACTCAATATGTTAATAAATAACTTTGATAACATCACTAATATATTTCTGTCTCATTATATATCAATATATCTTGTTTAAATACACAGTTCATTATATGCTGATCATTGCTACTTAAGAGTACTTTTTCTTAATGTATCTGTTTTAAATATAATTAGAACTAGATATGGTTCATAGTTTGTGCATCTTATTGGAAATTTGCTACTTGATAACATTTATGCAGCACTCCATATAATTTCATAAACTGCTTCAAATATATATTTAAATATGTATTCTTATTAAATAGAATTTCTGTAATGATGTAGTAAAAATGTAATTTGAAATAGTCAACTAATATTGGTATTTGTTACATTCTCTGCAGAACAAGAACATGAAGTAGTTGCTACTACTGGTGAGTGTTGGATATCCATTTGTGATAGTGATTTTGTAATCAATATTACTTCGAAAGATTATCTTTTTAGATCAATTTAATCTAATAACTCTCATATTATATAAAATATATTATTTTTTGTGTACATGATATTAATAGTGAATATCAAAATGTCCAGTGCTAATGTATTATTAACATTGATATAGTTGTAAATTGTAATAGTAAATTTTGGCAAATATTGTGTAATTTATTATATGGAATAAAGCTATAGAATTATTTTTGTTTATGATTTGAATTAAAAGATCTGAGAATTATTTAGACTTTGTATACATATTTAGATAATATATTGTAATTATGCAAATTTAGCATTTAAATGTAAATGATGAAAAGGTGTTATTCTTGTTGATTTACTGAAATAAATATGAAAATAGGTCTGTAAAATGTATGAGTTCTTCATTAAAACATTATCCCTTCATAACTTAACATTACAATTCATCAAATGTTAATTCTAAAACTGTCATATTATTTTTAAGAATAATTAAATAAGTTTGTTGAAAATTAAATGTCCCGAAGTTTTGTCAATTGAAATATTAGTAATATTGAATAGTATATGAAATTATTTGGTTAATGCCATATAATTTTTGAAACCTGCTTCATAAATCAGTAATGAATGTAATTATTACATTTGTGCAGGCCAAGATGTTGAAATGAGTGCCACTTTAGGTGAGTGTCCAGTTATTAAAAATGAGGTTGAATTTGATAGTAATTTGCAAGTACTAATATTTTTTGTAAAAAAAAATTATAAACTCCATTCATTCAAAAAAGAAATCAGCAAGGTGTGAAAATATTAAGATTTTGCTCTTAAAAATTTAATTTGTTTGTAATTTTCCTAAAGAGAAGCTATTTTATACTTGTTTGTAATAAGATATCAAAAAGTATTTAATAGTTAAAGATCATCTATACAAGAAGAGCATATGTAAAAGTTCAAATAGCAGTTGTCATATGGATAATGAGTAAATTAATTCCATTTCATTTGATAAAAGAATAATACCAATATTTATTACTTCCCGCAGACAAAACTCATGATGAACAAGTTTCAATTGGTGAGTGTTTGAGTAATTCTTTGTTAACAGAGTAATAAAACACAAGGATTGAAATTAAAAGTGTTTTTTGAGTAAAATGTAAAATATAAACAAGATAGATATTTTTGTTTCTTATATCCTTATGTTTTATTATTATTTTATGCTTATACTGTGCAAGCATTGGAATTGACAGCTTTTATATGCAACAATGAGCTTCACTGTTGATGTGTGCTTCTGTTTTCAGATATATTGATACTGAAATATTCAAAATAATAGTAAAGGAATCAAATGTTGGAACATGCTTTATGTTTGCTTATTTAATAGTGCAACAATGGAGTGAAACAAAAATATAGTCTGTTTCTTCTAGATATAGTCTTTATACTTGCATATTTTCAAAGATACTTTTTCATGAAAGGAAAACACTTTTGTAATTTGTATATGATCTGAACCTCATCTCATATTTGGAACCAAGTGTTACTTTTCACAATATATTTCTAAAATGACTTTCTGTTTGTAATGACTCAGGGTTTCTTTTGCTATAAGTATTATTAGCAGAGCAGACAATTTTTGTAAAACATATCTCTATCCTTCCATCCATCTATGTGTCTACCTATCTATTTCTGTCTCTTCATATCTATGCCAGTTTGTTTCTACCTCTTCATATCTATGATAATTTATATCTATCTCTTCATATCTATGCTAGTTAGCTTCTATCTATCTAAGCACATTTCTTCTTCACCATAATAATAATATTAATTAATAAGAATCAAGTGTTGAGACATTCATCATGTTTGCTTATTTCTTTCTATAACAATGGAGTTAAGGAAATATATAAATTGTTGAAGATTCTGGATATGGTCTTCATCCATGTTCATAAAGTTTCAAAGATATATTTTCATTAAAACAGAAACACTTTAGTAATTTATACCTGAATATGTATTTCTTTTCTTGTTTTGAATCAAGTTTTAGATATCACCATATATGGGAAAAAAATATGAATTTTTGATTGATAATAGTTTTGGGTTTCTTTTACTATAAGTACTACTAGTAAGCATTATATTTATACCTAGTTTATAAGATCATCCATGATTATAAATGATTCCTATTAGTAATATATAAGGAATTATGCATATTTACCCATAGTATATTTTTGAACCACATTTCTAGTTAATATTGATATTTGTTTATTGTAAATGCTTATTAGCTAAAAGCTATTTCAGAAATATTTCTTGTATATTGTATGATATACATTTTGAACAAAATTCATAGCAGAATTATTGCTTTTGCTTCTTGTATTTAATGCAATAATATTTTAAAAACTCATTGCTTTTTCTATGTTCACGGGTGGTTAATCTCTAATAAAGAGGCTTTTGTTATTTTTGCTAAAATTTTATGGCATATTTAGCTTGCTTTTTTACATGTATTTGTCAATTAATATATAAGTTCATAATTGGCATATATGTATAAAATCTTTTCAATATGTATGATTGTGATGAATATCCTTTTCTTTCATACCATACCATACCACTTTCTTTTTGATCAGTGCTAGGAATTTTGCTTTTGGCTTTTGTATGCAGTTTTACTTTTTCATTTTTATTTGAAGCTTCATATTTGTTTTAAAACTTTCTTATTGGCAACATTTTTATTCTGTTATTAAGAAAACAATGTACAATATTTTATGAGATATAATGTAAAGTAAATTATCTTTGTTTATTAATATTTTTATTGTGTCTTATGATTTGTGATATCTTAGACACTGTTAATTCCACTATTCATACATGTACTAAATATTTACTTGTGTCTTTTAATTAAGGCTAAGGATTAATGACTCAGATAAACTAAAATATAATTTATTGAAGTATTATTATAATCCTGTTGTACATTAAAGCAAATACAATTATTTGATGCTATAATTGTTACCCCACCTTTTTGTACTGAATTTCTTAGTCCATTAGATTTATGTGTATTATGCTTATAGTAGAATTGTAATATCAACAAGATATAATACCAAGATACATTACATTTTCTACAGAACAAGAACATGAAGTAACAACTCTTATTGGTGAGTGTCTGAATCAATATAAACTTTTATATAAGTATGATGTCTTTGATATTCTTTATTATAATTTTTAAGATATACATCATCAACCTATAATCAAATGTCCTCACATATATTTGATTTCTGATAAATTATACTAATTCATTAGATTTATTATAGCTTTATTCTACATGTAATAAAATTGTTTCATTATATCTGTTATTATGCCTAGATTAAAAAGAGATTGTTAAACATGAATTATTTTTTATTATACCTAAATGAAACACAGATTATTAAGCATAAATTATTATTTTTAAACTATAAATTTATATTTTTTCTATTTTAGAGAACTATGTCATTTTTAAGATTTAATTTCTTAAAGAGTTAAACAAATTTCCATTAATAATATAAATTGAAATACAGGGCTCCCGTACTGAGGTTTTTCAACAGTAGCAACTGTGAAAATGGACATCATATAGTTTGAAGAGAAAATAATGACATAAGATGTTAACATTCCACACTACTTCAAATAAAAAGTTATAGAAAGGACGTCTTATCAGTATTAGAATTTTAATGAAAAATTTTTCGAGAGAAAGGCATATTATTAAGCATGAATTATTTTCAAATGACAAATTTATATTGCTTCTATTTTGTAGAAATATGTCATTTTTAAGATATAATTTCTTATTAAAGAGTTAAACAAATTGACATTAACAATATATAATATATAACAATATATAACGCCAATGTACATTACATTTTCTACAGAACAAGAACATGAAGTAACAACTCTCACTGGTGAGTGTCTGAATTAATATAAACTGTTATATAAGTACAATGACTTCAATATTTATGATGTTTAACTTATACATCCCCAACCAGTAATCAAATGTCTTAACATAATTTTGTATAAATTATACTAATTCATAAGATTTGTTATAGCTTTATTCTTTAGTTAAAAATCTTCAGTCTTGTACTCAGGTAAAATTGTGTGACTATATTTTTTATACCTAGATGAAAGATAGATTGTTAGGCATGGATTACTTTCAAACTAGAAATTTATATTACTTCTGTTTTATACAACTATGTCATTTTTAAGATTTAATTTCATCTTGAAAAGTTAAACAAATTTCCATTAACAATATAAATTGCAATACAGTGCTACCTTATTGAGATCTTTCAACAGTCACAACAGCAAAAATGGATATCACATGTAACTTGAAGAGAAATTAATGACTTAATCAAGATATTGACATTCAACACTACTTTAAATAAAAGTGTTAGGAAGGAAACAGCCATCAATATTATAATTTTGCTGAAAAATTGTTTTAAGAGAAATGCAGATTGTTAAGCATGAATTATTTTAAAACTACAAAATTATATTACTTCTATTTTAGACTAATATATCCTATTTAAGATATAATTTCTTGTTAAAGAGTTAAACAAATTTACATTAATAATATAAAAATCTGTTATAAGTATGTTAACAAATACTGTTTATGTTTACACAGAGCAAACTACTGAAACAGTGCACACTATTGGTGAGTCCTCAGTTACATTCATTAAAAAAGCTATTATCGTAAACCATAATGATGGTTCATGAAAAAATGTTCCTAGATAGGAATATTAGATGAATTTATTTTTTCAAATAAATATAATCATCGTTTGACACATTATGAAATCTGATTTCTATGACCAAGTTTATAATACCCAGCTTAGGCATATAAAATTATTTTAAGTTGTTTCAACTGAAGTCTTAACATTGTTTTCACACTAAAAATATCACTGGGCTTCAACTCATTGTTGGCACAAAATAACTCTTGGTCAGTGTCATAATAAAAATTGCTAAAGATGAGTTATCTTATATTTGGCAGTCAATATGTTAAATATATTTTTTTCTGATAACACTGCCAATGAATTATCTTTGTAGCTGGAATTCAATGTGTTAATAAATAACTTTGATGACATGATAAATATACTT